AACATGACGCACAAGCCTGTCGACATGTTTACCCTGAGAGAGGACGTCTCACGCCACCTCGCCCACGACATGACTCCCAAGATCCCAATGCACGACATCTTCAATGTGCGCAACTTCGCTCCAGAAATCAACACCAACGACCTGAACATGGCGCTGCGCTCTGCAAGCCTTGTCCTCCACTCGCCCGTTGCGCTCCGATGCCTGCGCTTCATGTTCTCTGGCAAACACACTGCCGTTCCCTCGAAGGACAATCTCAGGATCAGCGAGATCGAAGGCGATCCATACATCCAGGAACAAGTCGAAGAAGAGGAAGCCTCGATCGTGAAGGCAAAATTGGAAGATCTCGCAAAGTTCGTCGCATTCGTCACATCAAACGAGAACAACGGCAACGACAAAGTCAAGCCGACAGTGAACGAGAGCGGCGCGGTTATTGCAGTCGATATCCCACTTCCAACGGACGTCCTAGAAGGACTTCGAGATATAGGCGAGCAGGGCAAGAATGGCGCGCTGTCAGGAGCGATGAGAGCTACCGAGATGCTTCTGTCATACCGACTCCTCCACATCATCATGCACGGCCTTGGACATGCCGCGTTCTACTATCGCTACTCCTTGGAGGGAAACGAGCCGCGCGTTCGCCAGCCTCTCATTGGCGACGAAGTGGCGTCAGATTGGGGATGTACACTCCGACAGGCTGTCTTCGGTGGTATACTCTTCTCTGTCGACATTGGACGGCAGCCGTATTTTGTTCGGGCAGCAGCGCCTCAAGACCTACAGCAAGCATCAAGAGTGAACACGGACGCAGGGCTGGAGGAAGACACAGAAGACGTTTCGGAAAAGGATATTGAGATGGAAGGCGACTCTGAAGCCGGCGCTGGACCTGAGGTTGTTAACAGCAACTCCGTGGTGACGCTACTCCAGTGGCCATCGTTCCCGCACGTTGTCCAACGCCGCCTTTCAGGCGAGCCTCACAAGATGGCACTCCGATGCCGCATCTATCATGCCTCTGCCCAAGCTGTCCGCATTCCGTTCTTCTACATACAGGCGGCCTTCACGAGCTCTACCTGGAGCAAGGAAGTGCCCTATCCAGAGCTGGTGCCCACAATCACCGACCCTCACTCCGTGACCGTCCGCGCGCGCTTCGGAGACGACAAGACCATCGACCTCCGAGCTTACAGCAACCAAGTGGCGCGCCCCCCGGAGGACGCACTCGCCATCATCGACGAAGCCTCCGAGATGTTGGAGAACGAAAGAATGCAATCCGACTTCCATCCAGCAGAGCTTGTTCGGCGTCACAAGCTCACAAGAAGTAATAAGCCCGCCATATCTGACGCGAAGATGTTTGAAAATTTTCAGCATCAAATTGACGCCAAGAAGAGAGAGCTTGGAGTGGACACTGTTGGTCCACAGGGATACAACGGAAGTGAGCGGAAAGGATACGGACACGCCATGAATTGGCTGCACGGTGGGAAATCCCGTGGTCGGCTGCCTCAGGTAGGGATCGCTGGGAGGAGGATGGATGAGCCTGAAGAAGAAGCTGAGGAGGAAGCTGAGGAGGAGTCTGAGGAAGAGGCTGAGGAGGAATCTGAGGAGGATACTGAGGAGGATACTGAGGAGGAAGCTGACGAGCAGCAGGAGGAAGATGAGCAGGAGGATGATGACACACGAGAGGAGCAGGAGGACTGAGGTGAGACGATCGAGAGAAGGACATCGGCGAGAACAGTAGGAGGGAATGAAGGACACGAATATGGGCCTGAGACGAAGTATAATGCTTCGATGATGTAGGTAACGGGGCCAAGCATTGCAACCGTCCCACATTAATTAGTACCAAACATCCAGCGCCAAGCTAAATACCCAAAACTCCGCAACAAAGCTCTCCTCAAGGTGGATTCAAGGTCGAAGAGACATTCGTCCTTGTGATTGTCGCCCCTCTAGTTTCCCAGCAATTCGAATACAATGTAAGTGCTCACTGCCGACGCAGCGTTTATCCGTGGACTCCGCACATTGAGCAGGCATTTTGACTTGCAGTGAGAGCAGTCTGAGACCAGAGTCTTTCATTGGTGCTGATCGTCAAGCTGCAAGTACTGTAGCTCGTTGTAACCAGCAAACCTGACATCGTTCGGATGCTGACACCCACGCTCGCTATAAGTGACACGCTCGGGTTGCCCCGGGCGTAGATCGTGAGATTCTGTGTCAGGTACACAGGAGCGCTGAAACCTGCTGACTGCATTCGATTGAATGCTTGGACTGCGTTTGATGCCGCTGCAGGCGTGTCAACACAGCCGCTGGTCAGTGTGCCGGTGACTCAAGGTGATAAAGCGTTGCCGCTGAAGGCGTTTCTGAGCAGACACTGAACAGATCACGACACGTACGGCAAAGTGTCAGCTACCACGGGTCGTGTTCTCCGTTGGAGGTTGTCAGATGCGACCGTGATAACATTGCGCTGAGGCTTGCAACTTCGATGCAGCAAAAGCCAAGATGGCGCTGCCGAACGCTCAGCTGTTGGGAGGACAGAGGCTGTAGTAGAATGACCAGAGTAGCTCGTTCCCCGTCTAGTAGTAGATCCAGTAGGATGTATCCGTCGTGATGTTGGAGGATTCGACTCTTATATCTCCCGAGTCCCGACAGCAGCCCACTCGAGCCTGCGGCGACGGATACGGTCTAATATATCCAAAGATGGTTGCCAAGCAAATCGAGAAGAAGAGCGTATAGACTGGACAGATTGGCAACACAACCGCTTTGAACACATGAGCACGCGAGGTTGAAGAAGCGCAAAGAATGACTGGGGACCTGCCCTACTCCATCCAACATTCCAAGGACCAGACTCATCAGATTGGCAACAGGTCAACTGACACCATTCGTAACCGCCACGGAGAAAACCCAATGATATTGTTTATGGGCGAGAATGCGGCAGCTGCAGAGGCAACAGGAAACCCTGGAATAGGGGATGAAGTACTGCTTGGATATGGGGTTCCTAGATACGAGCGCCATGTGTTGCGTTGCCTGCATCATTTGCTACTGGCACGCTCTTCGTAATGGAAGAGAGAACCACTGATGTCGTGGAAACGTCCGGAGACTCTGGTGAGAATGACTGTCGGAACAAGTGGGAGGTTGGAAAGGTGTAGAAGTTCCTGAAGAGCGAAAGATTAGTCCAATGGCGCCGGTAAAGCCGTTGCGAAGAGTGCGCTGTCGGTGAAGTTCCCGGGTGATTCGCCGAGAAGAATGGTGTTGGACGGCAACGAAGTGCGCTCCATCGAAATCAGAGCCGGCTGAGATGTCAGCGCAAGGGTCGATGTGAAGAATTGACCGTCACACGCTGCTGCGGAACTCGAAGTGGACGATACTGGAGTCACGCTGGCGAGCGCTTCAAACTCAAACTGGGGAGAAAAGAGGTTGACGACGTGCATTGACGGTCCAAAAGCGCCACCGGAAGCAGAGATGAAAGCTTCAGTCTCAGCGGTAGCCGTATTACCAAGTGACAGCCAAGATGCCAAGGGAACATTAGGCAACGCACTCACAACGGCCTCGACCGCAGAAGCTGCAGACGAACCCGGTACAGTAGCATTCGGGATCCCACCATGGGAGCGCCAAGCCCTCCACTGCACATCCTGCATTCAAAGTACCGCATCATGATCGGAGAGCAAAGACCTAGGACTACCACCCAGCTGGCGCTCGATGTATATATCAAACCGCTTGCATTGACCGAGTCGTGGTACGACTGACCGTCAGTGAAACTGTACGAAGCGACGGTCTGCAATCCAGCCTTCATTGGTCGTTCCCTGGGCTAGTGAGGTTGAGGAGCATGAAGACGAGGTGAAAGTAGCCGACGGGTCCTCTTGAATCTTACTGCAGCGAGACTGTGGCTTGAGGCGTTATTGCTTCCACGTCCTGGCTGAAGCTCATATTTACCGCTGCTCTAGTTTTCGATGCAGCGACCTTGTCAGCAGTGGGGACACCACTGGAGATCTATGCCAGCAGGAGGGTATCATTCGGGAAGGCGGCACTTGCTGGGACGATAGTCAGAATCTGCGTCGTAGCTGGCGCACCGATACGTAGTATGCTGTCTAGCAGTGCTTCGACAGCGATGGTCGGACTCTGGCTGCTGGACTGCTGGGCTGGGACAAGGCGAATGCGCCTCTTTATTTGCAACAGATACCGAGGCCAAGTTGGAGGAAACGCCACCATCCCGCCAATGTAGTCCTACCCGAATGTGCCCTTTCGCTGCTAGAAGGATTGGAGCTTGCGGTTGAGATGGTTAAATCCAAGTCTGGGTAGATTTCAGTGAGCCTCGACAAAGATCATCTACGACAGCGAAGATACTCGCGCCACCGTGGTCAGTATATTGCCAAGCTCGGACAAGAGACTGTCTCCAGAAAAGCCTGTAATCGATCACTGCGCCAAAGCAATCGTCGCAAAAATTCCTCTCGAGGCCGCGATCCTCACAATCGAGGCTGAAAACAAAGGCTTTGTGTTTGTGATTATTCCAGCGATGGCGCTGGACACGTCACATCCATCTTCAGTGTACGAGAAGCCGACACGTTCGTCCGTGTTGATACAGGTACTGTCGCATCCGTCTGAGTTGAAAGTCGTGTCGTCCGCAGCAACTGTGCCAGGACAGTAGTTTCCGCATGTTACCAAATTAGGATCGCCGGAGTTGCACGCAGCTGGAATGAGCAAGCCGCCTGCACCTGAATCGGCTCCTGTTTCGGCGTTTCAGACGCTTGCCGCGATGGATGAGGCAGCGGCAGAAGCGGTAGTAGCGACCGTTTCTGGCCCAATTGCTGGCTTTGCGGTGGCCTCATCTTGCGATTCGTCCCCCTCTGTGTTGGTTGAATTGGAGTTATTTGCAGATGGTGTCGCCGCTGCTTCCATAGCAGACACAACCGCCGTTCCACTCGCCACATGCGACGTTCGCAAGCCGCCAGAGACAGAAGCTCTTGGAGTTGCACAAACGGTCCTTGAGAGGTCGGTAGCTGGTCTTGTCCTTTTGAGAGTCTCACCATGGCTTACAGACATCAACGTCGACCCGTCGGAAATGGTGTTGATAGTAGACCCTCCCAGGACCATCGTGTAGGTCGAAGCGGGCGGAGAAGTCATCGTTGGAGGCCCACTCACCGTCATTATCATTGTCGTACCTCAGGGTCTGGAAAAGACTGCACTTCCCCCGATGATGAACGTTGTTCCTGGTCGCAGACCTCTGCGAAGCTGCAGAGGTGATGGCCGGAGCAGAAGGCGGCTTAGCGGCTTTGAAGCTGCGCCCGACCTCAGCAAGGGGCCAAGGGAACCCTCCCGTCGTTCCATTGACCACCCAATCCAACGACGCAGCAACGACATCTTCGATTCCAGAGACTCTTGTCAAAACACCAGGGCCTGGCAGAGTCGTAGTCTGTCATGCAGGCAGTGGTGAAGAAGGAAAAGCGCCGAGGGATGCCTGCATCAACGTGGGTCCGCTAGATACCGAGGTAACTTGACCGGGAAAGTCAACGCTCATCGAGATTGCCCTATCGGTGAAAGCTGGCACTGCCGGGGTATCGATTGGATGCGTGACAGTGAAGCCATACTCTATCGCGTAAATCCGCTCCCTGCTGGGTCCAGGGAGACGGTACCGGAATTGCCGCTTGTAGAGAAAGTGATGGCATTGGCCGCTGCCTAGGGTTCGCTCGACGACGTACGCTGATGGAAGCGGTGCGTTGGTGACGCCCGAGATCGCGATGGAGCTGGTCAAGGCAAGGAGTGCAGCGCTGGAGAGGACGCTTTGTGGGATGGATCACGTTGTTGTGACGCCGGATTGCGCTGCGTACATGGCTGAGGCGGGAAATCCAGCGGAAGCGTCTCCGGGCCACCAAGGATAGAAACCGTGAAAACTTGATCTGGAGTGAGAATCTGTCCAGCCACAACGTTTTCTCGTTCAGAAAGCGATGTCATTGTCCCAGTGCACGCCGTGCCGCCAATCTGGTTTTCATTGCAGGCAGCACTGACTGTCTGCCCGGCGAACGTGGCACCAGGACCTCCAGCTGACAATGTGTCACCGATGAAAGCATAGAGATCACTCGCCTCCGGGATTGGTGTTGCGGTGCATGATATTGCAGATGCGGCAAGCGTCGCGTATGGCTCGTTGTACCCTCGAAAATGTGGTCTGAAGCGCTCAAGTCAGGTCATTGACCACGATGTTCTCCGAAAAAGCGAAGGATGATGCTGTACTTGCAAGCTAATGGCAGACCCGCCAAGTTCGAGCATTTGACCATCTTGCATCACACATGCGTTGGAAGTGATGCGCTTCGCCGTGATACTTGGAGCGATGGTAATTCGGCTTTCAACAGAGATGGCAATGGGCTGGGTCCGACCGGTGACACCGACGGCAGACCCAGAGAAAGCAGGACGGTACGTCGTTTCCATCAAAGCGGTGGTGGATCTGCCCGATACCAGTGGTTGAGTGCTCAAGGCATACTGCGAAGCTGTACTTGTGATCGCCGGGCTTCCTGCCCACGATAGAGCCCCAAAGGGTTCGGATGTACTTCCGTAAGGTAAGACGTTACCATCCACGACTAGGCCGTTAGTGGCTGCAGAGATCGTGATACCATTCGTTTTGTACGCAGGTCTACCAGCTGGGGTTTCTTTCGTCCATTGGGTATGAGGAGTGCATCTGGAGCGACAATGGTCGCTTGACCGTTTGTGAGAGCCAGCACAGCGGCTGCTGTTGACTGTGATAGTGTATTTGTATCGTCATACAGGACAGTCTTTCCATTCGTCATAACTCCGTCGGGAGCGAAAATGAGAGTCTCGCCGCTGAGAGTTGCTGGGAAAGCGCTGGGGGCTCGCGATTGAGATCCGACGGAAAGCGGAGAGCCAACTTGTGCGGTCAAAGTCGACTCGTTCGGAAGAGTAATCACAGCAGGAGCAATTGGCAGGGTTAGATCTCTTCGCATGCCGTATGAAGGACTAGCTCCGTTGGTAACGGCGCCCGCAGAGATAGTACTGATTATGTCGCCGCCAAAATTCGTAGCTGGACCACCGAGAGTCATGATCTAAGCGCCAGGGAGTACCGCAAAGCCTAGAACTGCAGCGAGTGATCAGCCGTATAGAAGAAGTGCAACTGCATGAGCGGTGGACCGGACTAGACCCATTGTGATGCCTGACGACGCAGTCAAAGTACCGCTATCGTATGGTATGTTGAATGTATCGCCGACGAGACCGATGAAGGCACGGTTGAAGACTTGTGGGCTTGATGTTGCAGCCGAACCGCCACCCTACAGCGTTACACTTGCGATGTTGAGAGATGAGCCGGATGTGACAGTGATAGCCTGTCCACCGGCAAGTGGTCCAATTACTTCAGGTACTGAGCGCAGTTTCCAGGTATGCTAGTTCCGCGGCGAAGTGGATGCAGCCAGCGATGGAGTGGACGTATTTGTAGCACTAGCAAGATTGTCCTAACTGGAGCAGCTGCAAGATATTCGACTGCGTATGACCCAGGTTTCTCTCCTCCCAATCCAAGATCTGCGTGCCGGGAGTAATACGGTCTGCCGATCAACAGCATACTGACGTCCGAAATTCTCGGTCAACACGGCCCAGATGATTCTCGGACGAATATGTCGGTACGGGGACCTGGAGACCACGCGAGGAATGTCGAGAGCGGTAAGGTTGCATCTCCGTGGGAAATTTGAGAGTTGGTGATTGCCTTCAGCGCTTCCATCTCTTCTGACTACGCCGCAAAGTGGACGACTTGTCCCATCCAAGCCTCCATGGCCGGACCGCTACTTTGTTGTAGGACTTGAGCATGGCCACGCCTCGCTTGCTCGATTTTCAGCACCGTCATTGCCGTCCGCCTCTTGGTTGCTGCCACATCAGCTCCAAAACTTTCCAGGGATGAGGTTCGACCGAAAATTGGCATCTAATACGTATTCAGTCGTCGGGACGGCGACGAATGAACGATATCTGCCGCCTGCCAGACTGATACCATGACTCGCCTGTCGCCGATCGCTCCATCGGACATCGACTTGCCATGGAAATGTAGAGCAAAACGGGAGTTGCCAGAGCTGCCGACGATGTCGGAGCCTTAGCCTGCATATTCGGTGGTCCAGGAACGGGCGTGGATGTTGCTGCGTAGACATCTCGAGTTCGTGGACGTCTTGCCTTCCGTGTACGGTATCTGTGGATGTTTAGGCTCTGGGGAGATGGTCGTCGCCTCTGTCCTGCGGCAAGTGGCAGCAGGCAGAGTAATACAGTGAAATGCTGGAGGTGAAGTCGTTGGCACCGCTGCTGAATTGAGAGGGACGCGGCGATTGCCCAAAGTGCCGAAGTGCAGCCAAGCGGAAGATTTGTTTTTGTTGTTCTGCTCGAACTTCCTCCTCCTCCTCCACACACCAAACAATCTTCAAGCTGCACATCTTCCTCTTTCTCGTCATCATCAATATCCATTTCTCTCATCGCAACTGCCGCCAGATACGAGTTCTGCATCGGCCAACAGATCCCTTCGTCATCAACATACATGGCCGCCGGCGCTGACTCCAAATTGGATGGCAACCGGACACGGTGAGTTCCCTGCACCGACATCTCTTGTTCCGATGGAATGATGATTTTCCTACGCACCAGTTTCTCTCCGACATCAACAATGGAGAAAACGACCGGAACGGCCATCTGACTCCCCCTGTGTCCTCCCTTTTTCTTCGCGAGCTGCCGGAGGAACATTCGCTGACAGCTCGATGACACATAGTCTAAACATGCTCTTTGCCGTCGATCGTCCTCCTCGATCATACTGCTTATCCTCCCTGACGTCCCTACCAATCGCCGTGGCGCCGTCACCATATTCTCCTCCTTACCCAACGGAATGCGCGGCTGCCACGTCCAGCACCCTCTTTTCTTCCCTTCGACACCCTCTACAGATGACATTCTCTTCCCGCATCGCTCTTGCGTACCACTCCAGACGGAGGCAGAGTCGTCGGTAAGCGCGGCACTGCTGTTCTCAACAAGCCAAGAACACACGGTAAGCATCCTCGGAGCGTGGTTTGCCCCGACACTTGGAGCTCTGCATCATCCCCAGCAGCAGGTAAGTCCGAGTGGCCACTTCGCCCTCTCCTCGCCTCTTCCCCAATGATGAGTTCCTACCTCACTGGATTGATTTAACCCCTGGTGGGCTTGGCAAGCAAATGACGTTCTATGAATCCCACCCAGAGGGCGAGATCCGCTCGACGTTTGCGTGTTCTTATTCCACACAGCGTCCATGGCTAACATGCTTGATCGTAGAGTACTCTTTCGTCCAGCTCTAAGAAGAGCACGAATTCCGCTGCCCTGTTTGCCGTTTACGAGGTAAGTCTTCAGCCCTTCCCACACCCTGTTCACTCCCCATCTTACATGATGATCACCATTCCATTCTCTTCCGACACGTGTCAGACGGCATGGTACTGGAGACAACATCTCGTTCGTTCTGATTACTACAAAGTCGACTCCTGAGCTTCACTACATCCAAGCCCGTTAAGCACAGCTGACCACATTCGTCCACAGGATTTCTTCTCCCTCATTCTACACAAGTTGTCCTCACGCTACACGAGTTGGAGTGCCATGGCGTCGCGATCGAATGAGACGGACGGACGGATGTTCCTTCAAGCACGGCGACGGGGCTTCGAAGTGACGAAGACAGCACAATCTTCGATCGTCAACGGCATGTCTGACCGCGTTCAGATCGCGTTCCAAAACACAGTCAGGACAAATGCTCTCGTCGATGCTTTCATACACCCTTCCGGAGTGTTGGAAGCCCGATCTCGAAGGTAAGTGCTGGGCCCATTTAACACGCACATCATCCTACGATGACAACATTTTTCCTGACCGCGACTACAACCTTCACCCATGGAGATACGATTCGGCAGAATCAACAATCTGATAAAAATCCTCCATGCTCTCTGCACGCTCTTTCGTCTCAATGCCTCCCGTCGCTGAAACTCTGCCGGGTCTAGGAAACGAGCCTCTCCCGTGGACGGGGCACCCATACTACGTACAGCACTCGGAGACTGGGGCATGTCGTGAAGGTAAGTACCGCACCGCAAGACCTCCCCGCTGCCCAATGACGATAAATTTTTGCCCTGACCACGACTACAACCTCATCCATGGAGAGAAGATTCGGCAGAATCAACCATCTGATCCATATCGATTGCATCCGACCCAATATTTTCTCTCCCAGCGAGTCTTGTTGCTGACGTATTGACAAGTCTAGTCGACAACGCGCCATCTGCGACGTTGCTGCAGCGCCATGCACGTCACCTCGAGACCAAGTCTACGAAACGTAGCTCTGCAGACGTGAGTGCCCGAAATGGCTTTGCTACGACAGAAGACTCACAGAAGTCCTCTCCCACATCCTACAAATGGGACCCTCTGGTAAGTCGTCCCACACTTTTCTCCAGCTTCCATGATGAATACAAACAAGAACTCAAACTTCCAACCGAAATTACACTGGAGACAAACGTACTCTGATCTTATGCATTCCTTGTCCGCTCCTGGCTTTGCTGAAGATGTTCGACTGCTGACATTTGGGCAGTACAGCTCAATCTCCCTTCCTGCTGTACGCCTCCGGACGTGTACCTGCGGAGTGAATGACTGGCGCCCCGCCCAGCGAGAACGGACGTCTGCTCCACACCTACCACTCCGATTCGAGTAGCGACACATCTCGACATTGAAGTACTTCACGCGATACTCTGGGGTCATGCAGGGTCTGCGCTTCAGGTCGTTCCGCAACGACAGCCATCCAGGCAATCGACCGTCTATTCCACAGGTCAGCGCGACGACAACGAACCGCACTTCCATTATACCGCCGAACTCCAACTTTGAAGGACTTCTGCCTCACGTGGACGGATTTGAACAACATGAGACAACATTGTGAATGCTTCGAGAAAGGCGAATTTTTTGTATGCCGGTGAGATCCAAGCTCCAGAGATGCGAGAGACCACCGCTGCCCATCTCTCAGAAGCGTCTTCAAGGTCAGCACGGGAGGTTTGTGTGCATTCGATCAGGCTCAACTTATCGCGCGACGATGATCTGGGCAAAAGAGCAGGGCCTGGAAGGACACGTCGTCGCTTAGCGAGTAAATTAGTCATTATCAATAAGATAGCTAAGAGGCACTGGTTGTCTACGAAGGCCCGGATACTACTAATGGAACTGAGTCGTAGCAGAAAATGATGTTCGCAGTAGGTGCTCTTTCTATATAGCTTGCTTTGTCTCCATAATGCATTCTTTGCTTAACCGTATTGTGCAATATTTAGAAGACATCCAGTGCATCTTCACGTGCGCTATGAAGTGAGAATCACCAGAATTGTAAAATTCACTTGTTGTCAAATCTTTACTCGTACAATATAACAGCTAGATCTTTTCCGCACATAAGCCCTCTTCCTTCTACAAATAAATTCCTAGCTTATCTCTCAAAACCATTCCCTTCTTCTACGCTACCAAAAACCCCACCATCGCATCCAATCATGCCATCTCCTAGAGAATACGACCCCTCTAAACACGGCCACATGCCGTTCGAATCCTACAAAGCCTGCGACTCAGTCTCACCCGGCCTCGGCTACCTACGCGCTCTCCCAACGCAGGTGATAGGAGATATCCTCTGCTGGAGCACCGCACGACGCGGCCCGGTACAGTTGAAGTTACAACCTCACTACAACGAAGTCTCCGTCGTCGTAGACCACCACAACCTCAAGGATCTATGCATGGTTTCCAAGACTATGTGCAAAGGCGCAGTACAGGCTTTCCTGCGAGCAAACTGGGACCGCGGTCCATGGATTCTGCACTTGGACTGGAGCAGTGAGGAGAAGGTGCCGCGAGAGCTGAAGCTTGGGAATGCCGAGAGGATTCTGAAAGAGATGCCAAAGGTCATCATCATCGCTTTCCGGGTGAAGAGAACGGTGGATGCGGAGACCAAGAAGGCTGAAGTGGAGCCATGGATTGCCGAGATGCGGCTCAAGATCAGAATTCCCAAATCGAAGAGTGCCTTGAAGGTGAACTGGGTTGAGTTGGATGATGCGGAGAAAGAGGTTGCTAGCATTGTGACGAGAACGAATCCGGTGTGGGAGAAGGCGAGGGAGCAGATTGAGCAGCTGGAAGTCGCAGGTGTTCAGCGCAAATGGTCGGTTGAGGGGATCTTGAGCGTTGCGAAGCTGCTGGAGAAGGCCGGTAAAGAGTACCGATGGGGAGAACTGGTCTAATGGAAGGGGAAGCGATAGCAAAAGCTGAGCACGACAGAGACTGATAGCGTATCAGGAATTTCATATGTGGTAGGAAGCAGGTATAGATACCTCCTCACGCGCGGAAATGAAGTGCTGGCCAAGAAGTCCTTCCGTCTCTGCTATCCCATGGCATCTCGTTGTAGCCGAATGTAATCAGAAAGGTTGTTGAGCACCCAGAAAAGGAGCTGAGCCTGGTTTCACGCAGGCATGCTCCAGTGGTCGGTTCGTCGGCCAGCCCTCCCTTTTGCTGTTTGTTTTTGCTCTTGTGCCGCTCTGTCCACACCACGCAGTCCAGAGCGCCCACCCTTACTTTTGAAACTTCTATCGACTTCCATAGCACTGATGGATTTTGGAATCAGCTCCTTGGCATAGCACAATGTGATGTAGTGATGCTATCGTACCCGTGGTGAGTTTCTTGAATGCTGCTGTATGGTGGACCGTGCGCGGATGTCTTGGTGCCGGCTGCTGATGTCCGTCGCCTCTCGCGCTCAACAACCCACGTCACGGTACTGAAGAGCTTTAACGCTTCTTGACAAACCACGATTACACGGAGATAATCTCGCTGGAAGCGCCCAAGCTACGACCAAAGCGACACAACCGCATCGGCGAAACGCCCTCTCCCTGCCAAGATCAGCCGCCGTCCACTTGAAGAGAAATCCCAATCAAGGACCCATCCAGCTCTCCGCCGCTTTCCAAGACCATTCCGAACGTTCCCTGCACCACAGAATCAGCCTTCACTACGATCTAGCTTTCCAACAAGCTCCACGATGTTTTCCGCAAGAAAGGTCCTCACCTGGACCAACAATCTGCTCCGCCCACTTTTCGGCATGCCAGCGACATTCGCCTTGGTTCTTTTCCTGCGTATGACGCTCGCGAGAGACGAGTTCTTTCGCGCATTGCGACTTCCAGGGTGGATGCAGAGGTTGCGAGCGGTGGTGAGAAAGAAGGCTTGAAGACAGAAATGAGGCCGTGAGGCGGCGGAGCGGAGAAAGACGGGAAGGGTATGGGATGATAAAGGGCAGTAAGAGCAGCTGGAATCGCGGAAAGAGTACAGCCAATGCCAATGGCTTGCGTGTCACGGTGTCTCTCTACGAAAGGGTGGAAATTCCAACTGCTGGTCCTGCCATATCTCGTTAGACAGCATCAGTATGTTAAAAATGGTGCTCAGCACTTGGGCATCGGATCTGCAATCAAGCGACTTCGTCCTTGGACTTTCAATCCTTCTTCTCCTGCAGGCTCCTTTACCTCCAGACTGCCAACGTTGGTACTCAGGCAAGATCAAAGCTTGGAATGATTGAAGCTGTGATTGGTCTCAAAGACCCGCCAGGGTTGCTTTTGCTCGTACATGGTCGGCGATCTGAGACAACGGCTGCAGAAGCTCTTCCGGTAAGCCCATGCTGGACTCTGCTACGAGGGATCACAGCAGTCTAATAGGTCATCTACTCGATGCTACTCAATACTCGATGACGGCGACTATCTCTGGAGCAAGCTCCCGTCTGCTGCCATCGGCAAGAAGTAGACGTTTACCAGCGGTGACATCGTGCGGGCTATCAGGAGGGAACAAACGCAAGATCAAACTTCCAGAAATGAACTGAAAAGCTTTCCATTATCTCGTAAAACTGATCCATTCATTATGATCTGTCAATCAACTGCCGTTGCTCTGGTCGACGCCAAGAAGCGGGACCTTCCGCCCCTTTCCGCCCGCACGAAAACAAACTCCCACTGAAGCTTCGCGCGTTTCCCTTCTCTTCTCACCATCAAACAAAACATGCCGTTTCGAAAGGCGCAAGCTGATGACGAACAGCATCACGGATCCTCCAAACCTTGCAGCACCCACGAGTGCGGAAACACCAAAAGCGCCTTTCCTACGGGAGGATCGGCAAAGGAAAAGAACAACGATGATCAGGCACGTCGCGAGGCAGCTGATATACTTGTATTAACCTGCAATGACAAAGAGAAGAGACGGACTCGTGGATTCTGCTTGAAGCGGTCTGTCACACACATACACAACCGATCGTGGGCGCGTACGCGCGGAGTTGTGGCAAGGCGGTCGGAGGGATTCCAAAATCAAAGTCTCCTGCCCTTCTGGCGCGGCTCCTTTCGGGGCTGCATCAAGGACCAGATGTTGCTTTCTTGGCGGAGAGGTGAGCTCTTGTGTGGACACGCACAGAATTGAGCTTGCTGCCATGGCGAAACCTGTGGCGTCTCTGAGTAGACGTGTGAGGGTGAAGCAATGTGGCTACATAGTACATACACATACTTTTTCGGATCTCCATCTACTGTTTCATCCTTCGAGATTGATGAGCCTTCTGACTGGAGGAATTACGCGTTCTAATTGCGGCGCCGAGGAATGACAGGCCCTCAGCTCACATCCAAAATAACCTTGAGGATCTCATCCTGCTGCCTGCATATGGGAACCTGCGACACGTGATGGCAAGCCCAAACGGCGCTATTCGCCCGTCATTTCTGATCAACATGATCGAGCGGTACACTGTAATGAAATGACTCCTCCTTCCCCCACGCGTCGCCGCTGTGTATCTGCTGTGAGCGGCACTTAGTCGTCAGGTGATTGTTGTGTCCACACCACGATCTTCTCGAACAAGATCAGGGCAACACATTCATACCGCCAGAAGACACCGAGGTAGTCGTGGCAGAGGCTGTTTCAGCGAACACCTGTCGCTTGGTTGCTCTGCATTTCGACGGTTTGATTAGCGTTGAGTGACATCCGTTCGACATGTTGAAGTTCGCTTGCGCGGCGTTCTTGTCCATTCTCTGCTCGAATTGTGCAGTCGCGTACCCTGCATGAAGCCGTTGACACCATGGGCTGCTCCAAGTTCTCTCGAGGCCTCTGTGCTACTCTGATAGGCAGCCGCGTGGTTGACGCATCTTTCGCTTTTCGTCTTGAGGCTTCTGACCCTCATGCGCACCTTGTGTATCCTCCTCTCATGTCTCCGTATTGGTGACTACCCTAGTCCTCATCTCATCAACGAACTGCCATCCGTCCAGCTGCTCTCGCATTCCGCGCAATGACCAGACCCTCGACCATTCCTCTACTTCTCTCGCAGCACGTGCTCCAACGGAACCCCTGCGCTGTGAACACATGCCAAGCAAACCCTGCATCAGCCTCACTTCGCGGCCTGAAAGCTCCTACCGCCCTCTCCGGCCCGCTGCTCCGTACCAACTTCTCTCCTCCGCCGGTGCACGAGTCAGATATCACGTGTCTCCGTCGGACCAGCCCGCACGCTAGTGGCACAGACCAGTCATGCAAGTATAACTTCGAATCCAACTCTCCAGCATTCCTAAACCTTTCTTCTCTTGGTCATCCATGCCCATCATGGATCCCGCACGGTAAGTCCCTCTTCCTCCTCCCCTTCCCTCCTCGGGTTGGCAGTTGGCAGTGGCGGCGGCTTTGGTTTTTGGCAGATGGCTTTGGCAGTCTGGCAGTACACACAGAGCCTGTATGTCTCATCCGAGACGGATGGGCAGCGATGGTGGCAACATTGCTGCTCCGCAAATCTCATCCGAGATCTGGTTCTGGACATCCTTCGCTTTTGACTCCATGTCAACATGGCAGGTATGCTGGCTTCCTCCGCTTCCCCGTCATTCCGCCCCCTCTCACTTTGTTGTTTACATCGCAGTTCGCTGACATGCCGGTACAGGGCCATCAGTCTCACCGTCTTCGGGCAGTGATTTGGAGGCCTGTCTTCTTTCACTTTTCAATTCTCATCAGTCGTGATGATGGCGTCGTGCTGTACTGCGGCCTCGCCTTCGGTTGTCAGTTTTAGTGGGTGGTATCACGTCGCGTCATATCCATCGTGGCTCCCTGTTCCCGTCACTGGCATGCCCAATTCCACATTGCCACGGTATTGTCTCGGTCGCTCTCGGAGCCCGCCGTCGTGTCGTGGAATTGCGCTGGGAAATAGTCCGCGTGTTCAACCTTGGAATTGCTGCAGCACTACCGCGTACTAGTCACTGCTCAGGAGTGCCGCAAGGAACTGGAAGTTCAATGCTTCTGGATGCAGCAACGATGACTGATGGAATCCATCGCCCTCTGCCCAGACGACAACTTCAGCAGTCATATCCATCTGCTGCAGGCGCCGCTCACGCCATGACTATGACAGCGTCGACACACATGGCACGCAGGGACGGCGCTCTACGATCTCAGATAACAGTCTCAAATAGGGAGATACTGGATATCTTCCGCAATCGCACAGAAAAGATGCGGATATCTTGCCTCAGTCTCGGCGCAGACCGCGCTCGGAGCCTTCGATCCTTGCTCACCAACAGACCAACAATGTCCACATCTGCGCGCACCAAACACCTCAAACCATCTCACTTCACTTCAAGTCGGCGAAGAGATCCGACTTCCTCCTCACGCTCGCCAGTGAGCCTCCATATACTACATCCAGTCCGGCGGTGAGCATCGAGCGCGCGACTGCTAGCACTATGACACGGCTTCTGAAGACGCAGTAGTTGCGGCCATACACACGCCAACACTGCCTCACTCGACATCAAAGAGTGAGCGAATTCGGCGGAAAGAACTTGGAGACGACGTCTTGTTCGGGCCGGCAGCGCTCATGGAGACTTACGACACGGAGCCTCACGGGTCGTCTCGCACCGGCGGCAGCCACAGATGGCTCAACGAAAGCTTTCTCCCCTTCTTCGGCTCCCCGTCGTCATGAACAGCTCCTGCTCGACGTTCAGCGCTCCTCAGAGTCGCCGAATCTGCATCCGCTCCACTGCGGTGAAGCGCTCTATCCGTCCGAGGCTTCGCTTGAGCCTGTGGTGCTGCACAAAGGACCATGCGGCTGTTTAGGGTATCTCTCATGTCATAGGGGTACAGAACCCAAGGCACCACCAAACAATGCAGCTGACGCTGACCAAGATATAGACATTCAATTCCTCCAGAGCGACAACAACAGCAGAACCACAGCAAGAGGTGCCACACCAACGAGCCTGACAGCGGCATCGCTCCTCGCGTGAGTCTCGACTCTCTTCTCTCCTTCCCCTTTCGAACCCTCACCTACAACACCAACTTCTCTTACCCGGTTCTCGGCAACAAAGTGCCTCTCGAGTCTCAGAGCGACAGCGTCAATATCAAAGCAGTAACAAGAGCAATCACGCTATACCCGCGATACGGCGAGGCACTGGTTGAGTCTGTCTTGCTTGGCGCTCCTCTCTCCTTCTCCCCCTAAAACTATCTACAACATCAACCTCTGTGCGCTCGCTGTGGCGCTTTCGACTACATTTCCGAGGGAACGCTTAGCCTGTGTAACGAACCGGCGTGAAGCGAAAGAAGCAGAGGGACTCGTTACGCCGGCGCGCGTAGACAACGAAGCGACAACTTTGCTAGTGCAATGTCAATCCTTGTGCGGATTTGAGCTTGTCCACTTTGGGCTATCTGCAAGAGACAACGAGAGAATCACGACTTTATTCCCCACATTCCAGCTTGCCATTCGCAGTCTTTCAAGATTTCGCCTTCTCGGCATTTTCTCTTCCCTTCCACCGTGGAATGAGAATCCGGAATCGAAGCAACGATCGTCCCCGGAGAGCAAAGCCAAATTCGCATGGCTGTTGCATGTTAAGAGGAGGAATGCACAAGCTAAACGTCCGCGACGTCTGTTGCGGCGGCTAGAGCATACGTTGTAGCCTAAGAGGGGGGATGTGTGCGCAATACACCGAAGACATTGTGGCGACTCCAGAACAGCTTTTGGCGATGGTTGATGCCGCTGCGCACCACACCACTGATCTCTCAACAGGACATTTGCATAGCCGCTTTTGCATGGTTGACAGACCGTGATCTAAGCAATGATGCCGCTTTGAGCTCGTCGGAGTCGACCAGGGGCAAATTCCACCTCCAGTGAAGGGCTGTCGAACAGACGCCTCCAAGAAAGGCTTTGACGACTCGTTCTTCCCTGCAATGTTCGGAGACTCCATGACCGATTTCTCATCGCCTGAAGAGGTTGGTGAGCTTTTATGCTTCGTTATCACAAGATGCTGTGCTGTGACCGCGGATCGGTTCATTGCAGTAGCCCTGCCTGGGAGTGCTAGCATACTGCATGCCTCAAGCAGATCAGAAATGCCGAGGATAAGAGCTATTGTTGTGCGCCTTCTGACCCAACGAACTGCACCAGTTCTTCACTACGGCAAACGGAGCACAGCTTACACCATGCCACCAATCCGGTCGACTGCATCAGCTTCTGCAGTCTTGACAGAGTACCACATCTGCCATGCCACCGACGGCATCGCCTGCATCAACTCCTGAACACGACGGATAGGCACAACGCCAACGTGCCAAGTGGGCAATGTCAGAAATGTGGGGGTCGAGCTGACGAGTACGCAGACAATCGAATGAAGCGCTTGGTTCCAGGGCAGCAACTCGAGCGAACGATGTGGGATCGGAAGCGCTGCGAGATACAGCGGAGAGTGTCCTGGCCAGGTCACTGCTGAAGGGGCTGTTGGAAGGAGTATCGCTTTCTGTCTTATTCGGGGTCCCTGTGTATCACTTCACGAAAACAATAAGGGAAAGACCACTGTCGTAAAGCAGCTTCAAGCCTGAAAGGTGTCAAAGACTTAATGGAGAGACGCTGGAACTCAGCAGCGAAAAGAAACGAGAGCGATGAGCACATTCGGAGGCGAGCTCGGGACTATACTTGATACGCTCTCTGTGAAGCAGCAGGTGGTGCTATAGGGTGACTAGTCCTCATGTCCCCCATCATCGTGCACCAAACTCATAGCATCTGTCTATTGCCGGTACGATATCAAGGACGGACTTTACAATTCAATCCCCTTGCTCCTGTTGTCCCTCTTGCACGCCACCGGGGCTCGTTTCGAAACCGATGAACGAGTCCGACGGTTGCTGATGATAAGAAACCCGTCGGTCGTCCGGACATCTCTTCTTCGACCGCACATTCGAGCAATTCCTGCTTCAGTCTGATCCCCCGGACTTCTGCGTCCAAACGTGCCATACGCTCCCGCAGTATCTGCATCTCCAGATCCTCCACCTGCTCTTTGGCGAATGCAAGTGCCATCTCGCGCCCGGTCACTTTCTGTTCGCGCTTGTACAGATCCTCTGAGCGCTCGTACAGATCTTCTTCCCAATCATCCAAGTACTGCTCTCGCGTTGCCGGAGCACCCGCGACGCCGAACATTCTGAGAGAGCTGGCCTGCTCCAGTGTTGATCCGCGAAGATAACCGAAGGAAGTCAGCTGAAGGGTGAAAGCGAAGATATGTGGGCTCTGAATACTATGGTGGTGGTCAGTGGAGAGTCGGCGGATCGTGTGAGGGTGTCGATGGTGTTGTTGTGGGAGCTCTCACACAGCATTCGGCCGCAGGAAGCAATTAAGGCGCCGGAGTTAGCCCGTGGCGTCGTTTGCCACTCGCGCGCCTCTCAGCGCTAAATTATTCTGCGAACCCTGCACAGTCACGTCGATATCGTCTGGATGATGTCTGTGGAATCGAAAGATGAACCTATGGTCACATGTCAACGTTACAGTAAGTCATCCGGAGCGAGCGACCAATCATACCTGCGACAATGCTGTCGAAATTGCACGCCGCCGACGGCGATGCGAGAAGAAACAACGATAAGAACAAGTCGAAGTCGAAGAAAAAGATCCAGAACAGACGTCGTCGATTGGGATACAAATTATACAATTATACAATGAAACTCCTGGAACGCCGTGGGAAGCACAGTCTCGCTTTTTTCTCGTGAAAGGTGATGACACCACCGGATTACACATTCGTCTTTCTCGGTCCACATCTGGCAAGTGGTACTGCAGTCGCTTCTACTATTCGAAGTCCATCCATTCTGGATCTTCCTCGACCACCGGGTTACCCTCCTCGTCAAAAGTCCATCCTGTCCAGTCGTGAGGCGCTTGCGGAGCATGATAGCTCATGCATTCAAGACACACGTTCGGGTCGACCCGGGACACATCCTGGCCCTCTGCACCTCGAGCGAGCTGCTCCTCCTCTGGCAATACTGGATTTAGATGGGGCTCTTGCACCGCTCCTAGCTGAGGCAGTGGCGGTTCGGACTGCTGCTGTGTGGGATGCAAGAAAGCGTGAAGCTCGTCGTACAGCTCCGCCTCGAACTCTGGTGATGTGCCTGGCGGAGGGACTCGCTCTCGACGGGTACCTGGTGGAGTCCAGCCATTTCTCTCGTAGACAGCCGCCCAGTCAACAGGTTCTGACACGCCCTCAATCGGTATCGTGTCCTCTTCTGGCCCACCGAATACTGTGTCTATCTCGTCTGTATGACTGGCATTGTGAGGACCGAGCATAGGAAGCGATCTTGCTTGCATAAAACCTGGTATAGCAGGGCGAGTTGGCCGTGGAGCAAGTACCTCACGTTCCACCGGGTCCACTGCTGCTTGTGGTACTGTGTGGACCATCTGACCTGGTCGAAGAGAGAGCGTAGCTGGCGTACCACGGATACCCCTCGTATCTTTTACACGACGGTCGCCGTGGCAAAGGCAACAAGGACACTGAGCGGTCGCATCGCCGACGAAAAGCCAGTTGAGATGGTCAACGAACTCCGAGACTGACCTGAAATCCTTGCCGGATGGATGACCGCTGATGTAGCGGTCGTTTTGTCCTCCGACACGACGCTGCTCCCAGCCGGAGTATCGATCTGGGAGCTTCTCTAAGCGATGCGGACCATTGGCGAGATGTCGCTCCTTAGCGATATACTTGCCAATGGCGTTCAGGAAATGGTCGTCATTCTGGACTGCGCCCCCGCGAGTGCACTCCTTGCCCGTGCCGTCGGAAATTGTAGGTGCGCCTATGATTGTATATAAAGTGGGTGGGACTGGCGCGGCTCCGGTGGACAGAGATGCTGCGTGATGTACTTGTGGACCAGCAGCAGGAAGGACTGGAGCCATCTGAGGCGCTGGATGGGTTTGACGACCGGCATGGCTTTGAGGGATTGCTGGACCAGGAGCGGAGCACTTGCAACACGGGCAGCCGTAACTCGTGTTGTACTGCAAGCAGTGCTTGTAGTGTACGAAATACTTTGGCAGCGAGTCGAAGAATCCGCTTGGGTGACCAAAGATAAGTCGGTCGAAGGCACCCGCGCCCCGCCCTATCGTTCGTTGTCTTTCCCAAGCAGAATACCCTTGTGGCAGGTTTAGAATCTGTGTCGAATGGCCCGGCTGAACTTGAATGTTGAGGTCTCGGTCCGTCAATAGTTTCGTGGAGATCTTGTTGCGGAACAAGTCGTCGCACCGCGAAAAGCCTTCTCGCTGGCACACCGTGCCTATGCCGTCTGAGAAGGGGTTGATCTCGTGGATGTACCGCGGTTGATTCGAGGCTTGCATGGTGGCAGATGTTGTTTCTTCTCTGGTCGTTCCTCCAACGGTCTAGTCTTGAATGCTGTTTTGGGCTCTTGGTACTCTAGAATTGGTCTTCTGGTGCTTGTTTGGGAGTGGAAAGTGTTCAGAAGACAGGTGAGTGTGATGGTTTCTGGAGTGTCATCGATGGTTCAGGGGAGCAGTGCGCTTAAGTACCGCCGCGAAGCCATCGAACAACACAATGGCAATGTGTTGTTGAAGTCATTCGCTCCCATCGCAAGTGACAAGGCCATTGTTGAGCAGGTTAAGGTCTTTATTTCCGATGGACAAGGAGGAGCGAACAAAGGCATGTATACGTGGAAGATCAGGATTATACTGGAGATCAGAAATGACATGCGCGAAACTGAGGAAAACAAGCCTGCTAGGGCAACATGGGAGTAGGAGATTAAATGCCAGTGCGCAAAAGGTAAACTGATTGCCCTACGTGCTGTTTGCCTCAGAAGTCTCATGTCTCACCCACTGCATGTTTCTGGGCCGGGGTCAATCCTAAGGTCGGCAAGAATGCGGTGCGACACTACTGGACAAAGCGGTCTACTGAAAAGGATTGCTTTTCCCTGGGAGGACGGTTCCAGAGAGCTGCATATTGAGTGGCTCGAATCGAGAAAGGCATGCGATTTGAAAACGATCACCCAGTGGTTCGTTGAGTTTCCACATGTCCACATTCGGTCTGACTTGCTATCCTACCAGACATTTCTCTCGCAGCCCCGAACGCGCAAAGAATCCACCGTCCATCGTCATTCTTCCTTGTCATTCGCCCATTCTTCTATACCCCCAGACACAAGCCATCTCAGGGTAGTGACGACTGTAGCAGGCGTCGCACCAAGGAATAAGTTCTCCGTTCTCACAGAAGATTTGCGCCAACGGACCAGTATTGCCACGCGGTGCAGCCATATGGATGGCATTTCGCTCTCCCTGGTACTGCTCTGGATTCACGTACTGATGCAACTGATCGAGCATTGCTGCCTCCCAAGCAGGATCGACGTACTGCGTAGGACGCTGTTGAATAGATGGATCCAGGAGAATCGGTCTATTCGTCCAGTCGATAGATCCATTTGAACGAATCATTGGGTCTGGACCCGGGTGGTACTGGATCCCAGAGTTGGGGGGCAGTGGACCTGCTGCCGCTTGTGCGTCTCCGCCCACGTCTTCTTCTGTTGCATTGGACGTTAGATTGACTGGCCACTCTTGGGGCCCCAACAATGCTTGCTGCGGCCGATCGCTTGCGAGTGAGGTTCCATTGTTTGCTGCTGTAGTAGAAGGCGCTGCAGGAGCCACGCGAAGGCTTTGCACTTGCCCAGCGGATATAGAAGCAATCGGGAGGTTGAATGAGGTATTGAAGCTCTGAGGCCAAGCGTACGAATTCGTCCGTGAGCCTGGCGAGCACCTATAGCATCCGCAGCCATTCGCAGTGCCGTGCAGCAGACAATACTTGAAGTGCTGGTAGTATTGAGAGACAGAGTCAAAAGACCCATTAGGATGTCCATATATCCATCTGTCCACTCCGCCATTGTTTCGCCGCTGTCTCTCGTACGCGCTATAGCCGGCTTGAAGGCTCGGTATGGTTTTTGGATGTCCGCTTTCGAATTGTATGTTCAATTCGCGATCTGAGAGGAGTTTGTCGCTGATCTTCTCGCAGATGTACTGATCGCATGGCGTGGTATTGGGCTTGTAGCAGTCGGCGCCGGTACCATCTGAGTAAGGGTTGATCTCGTGGACCCACATTCTCGGAGCTGTGGCCTGCATGATGGTCGAATCCGTCGAGTTTGTCGTGAAAGTAGAGAACGCGAATCGCAAAGTCGAAGATCTTGGTGCTGGTAATGCGAGAGAAGGGAGAGTGCTAGTTGTTATGTGCGCGCGAGACAGGGTGAGAGAGGGTTGTTAGAGTAGGTCTTTGGTGGTAGTAATCGAAGATTCGTTGCCGTGCGCGTCCAAGTGAAGGTCTAGTCTCGATAGAATACGCGTGATTGACCTCATCAAAATCACTGACGGACAGTGCTGACAAAGCTGTCTCCCAGCCAACGGACAGTGCTGAATGGTGAATACCCAAACAACATCTCGCAGAGACATATACAAGACTAGAGTAAGAAGCCTACGAGGAGAAGAAAAAATCGCTGCGTCTGAGAAAAGAAGGGTGTGAAGAGCACCAGGGACGATAGGAACTGCACCTATCACATAGGGTGCAGGTCTACTCCGCTCTACGCCAGCGGTATTTGTGTCCCTCTACAACAAATACGATTTTCGTCGGCTTTGACGTCTCAAAGAAGGTCTCAAAGGACTGTCTATGTCTAGAATGGAGTAGTAACACATCGAAGTAGTTCAAAGGAGCAGAGATCGTCTGGCCAACTGAGGAGGCCGTCGCTCAATCATGGTAGAAACCAGTACAGGTTGGAAGAAGTGTCTCGAGACGGCGTCAAAGCAAATGACTGCAAGTACTCCCAGCAGAAGCAATCATATGTATCATCGGCCTACAGTACTGCTTCAATCCTGTTCTCTTTCTTGCAGCGTGCAGTTCCCGCTCCTTTGTCGTGCTGGATATCCTTTGCCGCCATGCTCAACTGTTCTCCAGCGTATCTTCTAGCAATCCAAGCTCACGGGCGAGTTCCATCTCTTCCTCGGTGATCTGCTTATCGTTATCCGTGTCGCAAGGCGTGCCAAACGAGTGCAGAGTAAGACACCAGTCGCACCACAACTCTCCTGGTGAGGGCGGCGGCTGCAGAGCTGCGGCTGACTCGCCGAAGTGTTCCTCAACAAGCTGAGCAGTGCGAACCGGCAAGAAATCAGCCTCCCGTATCAGATGCTCTTCTCCTGCTCGTGGGGTTCCGCTGCACATAGCGCAGGGACAAGTTGGATTGACCATTCCTTCTCGGTCAATTTGCAGCCAAGCGAGATGATCGACGAAGTCGGCCGTGGTGGTGAAGTACATGCCGGAAGGATGTCCAGCAATGACTCGATCAACCTGGACCGACTCGTCCCCACTTATGCGCCGGTAGCCGGAGTAGCCATCTGGAAGGCGTGCGAAACGGTATGGACCTGGACCGGGGATTGCGCCCTGGTCTAGCAGGTAAGTTGCCATTACTGCGCAGAAATAGGCGTCGTCGCGGATGAAGCCCTCAAAGGTGCAGCCTGCATCGATGCCGTCTGAGTAAACAGGAGGTGGGAGAAACTTGACTTGCATGGGAGGTTCGCTTCGCAGGAGAGGAGTTGGTGCTTGCGGCTTCAGTGCGGTGTAATTCGCGTCGCGGGAGGGAGCCGACATCTTGTGTTCTTGTATGACGAATCTCTTGTCTCAGCGACGTGGTGGTATTTTAATAGTCGTGAGGAGCCTTTGGATGCTTGGTACAAGGTGTTGTCGGTGGGAAAGGGTTCGAAGCTGATGAGGTGGAAGCTTAATAGCGAGCTTCGCTTCAGCCTCTAGGTGCCCTTCACTGGACGGAGAAGACTTCACTGCCGCTGTGTTGTAAGATTAACGGGTAATATCGCTCCAATTGAAGCACGATAGTGGCGTAGTTATAGGTTGGAATCAAAAGACGAACTAAAGCCCGAGAGAAAAGACTATCTTCCACTATGTTGATTGTAAGAAGTGGATAAGACATGGTCAATCTTTGAAACGAAGGGCAGATTCTGACTTGAACAGGTGCTGTTCTCATTGGTCGTTTCTCTCACTCGCGTTTCTACTATCCCTGGAATCTACTTTCTCACGCCGTGGGCTCACTGCCACGCAGGCTGGCACGCAGCTGCTGGAGTTCGCTACCGGTTATGCGTAGATGGTCTGCAGCAGCGTCCAGGTCTCTGATGTTGGTTCCCAAAGAGATCAACTACAGAGTACGGCATGGGCAAGGGTTTGCGTCACTGTGAAGCCCCTTCAGCTGGAGATGATTGAGGTGCTCGTAGAAAGATTCCGTCGAGTGGAAGAGCATACCGGACGAATGTCCTGCTACACAGTGCCACGGAGAAAGACCACCGTCCTCGCTTAGTTTCCAGCCCGAGTACCCGTTTGGTAGCCTCGACAAGCGGTAGACCTCGTTGGATGCCGCCCAGTAGCCGTTAGAGCACTGGCCTTAGAGGCACGTTGCAAGGTCCAGCCGCCTGGTCGAATACGCTTCGCACCGATCTCGAGATATGACTTGGGAATTTGTACAGGCCGGTCGTACCGAGGGATCTCCACGCGCACCATCTTCCCGTCTTCACTATGCGCATAGATCTTCTCTAGTTCGCCCTTTTTGAAGCGAACGGGTTGGGCCGGATAGTTGATATAGACTCCAGCACAGTGGCTCGTCGTCACGGATCGCACCTTATATAGAGCATGGCTCGTGGGTATCGTCCGAGATGTTGTTGAGATTGGTCGGCCTGACACTCCATTCGACTGCTTGTTGCGGATCCGGTTGTGATGCCGTTGGGGGACTTGATAGTGGCATTGACGGCTCTGCTAGCTGTTGAGGCGCTCAAGAGACTATCTGCTGTGGATTTGCGGCCGCCAGTCCAGGTTGTTGCGGCTGCGACTGGGGAACCCGGGGCACCAGTGTAGTAGCCGTTGAGCCGCGGTCTGCTGCATAGAAGGAGCAGCATTGATTGCAGACGCTGGCGGCGGATCTGCTGCTGAAATCAGGCCTGGCTGAGGGGCTCGTTCCGCGCATGACGAGCAAATGCAGCCAGCAGCGGTGTTGTTGAGCTGCAGGTGGACGAAATGTCCGTAGAATGGTCAGCGGACTTGAAGTTGCCATTTGCATGGCCGATGACCCAGTGGATATCCCAGCTGTCCTTCCTATTGTCGCCAGTCCGTGTGCTCGGCGTTCGCTTTTGCCTGCACCATCCGCTGTATCCTGCCGGCAGATGCGCGAGTTAAGGCATTTTGCCTGCTTGCGGCTGATGGTCGCTCCTTGAATCGTTCAACCATCGCTCGCCGATACGTCGCTGATAGTAGACGTCGTCCTGTACCGCTGCGTTCGACCTCGTTCTCCCGCCCTTGCCGTCCGAGACGTTGCTGACCGCGATGATCTGCAGCTGCGCCGCCGCCAGGTGTAGGTCGAGATTGGTGTTGTGTCTGACCATTTTGTTGGGTTCTCGACTGTGGCGGGAGTGTGGATTGCACTTTCTCGTGGGTAGAGTCCGCAGTGTCGACGTAAGTGTCTGTGCCGAGCTGGTCGGAGAGGCTAGGCTGCTGAAAATAATCGAATGTTGTAGGTCTTCGATTGTGTTGTTGCTCTTGATGCGTGGTATTATAAACTAATGTAGGTGAAAAGGCAGAACGTGGATCTTATTGAGTATAATCGCCATTGCGTAGGATTAAATGACGTGGATGACCAATCTGGTCAAAGGTTCATGTGTAAGAACTGGCGAGGTGGTGCCAGTTCGGCTTGGCAGCAGAGCAGGAAGAACAAAGCCATTGATCTGACTGAAGTCGCCGCCTATCCCTTCGTCGCGCTATAGTACTGGAGAAAGACATGTTGTATAGGTAGCAACAGAGAATTTCATGCAATGCATAGGGGAGTAATGGGCAGGGAAAATATAGAGGAAGAAGAATACTTGGGAATGATTTGAGTACTGCTTGTGCATAAGAGTTCTGCGCGTCCAAGTCACATTTGCAGCCCAGTGTCCTGGTCTCCCTCCATACATATATATCGTGAGAACCGATTTCTTCGCTCTCAAACGGTTTGCTTACTGGAAGTTACGCATCAAAGGTCGGAGATAAAGAAAGAACAAAGTGTAGACGTGAGGGAACAGACACGACGACTCATTCCTATGTCTTCCTAAGACTACCACACTTCAACCATGAATCTAGTATGAGCTTGTGGTACGACTTTGACTCACAAAGGCATGGTCTTTGTGCGAAGAAACCACCTGATTGTGCGTTTGGTCGACGTGTGTCCTCAACTGTCACATGTTAAATTTCAGATGTCCGTGTAGCAGGACGAGATTGGGGAATGGAAAGCTGTGATCTCAACCTACAGCCGTAATACTGTTTCTCATTTCCATTCAAGCGCTCAGAAGCTTACAATATTCAAGGTCGCAATGCTGAACCCAAAGGGCCAAAGATTGAATTGGTGTAGCTATGTAGTTTGTTCCACTCTCTATTCCTCCATCGCATCCCGGTCAGCGTATTCCTGATTTCCTACTCCACCGCAGAGGACGCAAGGACACTCAACGAGGGCTCCAGGAAGTCCTCGAGTCTGTAGCCAAACGAGGCGATCATAGAAGTCAGCAGCGGAAGTAAAGAATTGGCCCGAAGGATGTCCCAAGAGCAGTACATCCGTGTCCTCTCCATCTGGCGTAGGTACTTCCCAGACCGAATAACCTTCAGGAAGGCGATCCAGGCGGTAAAAGAGTCCGGCAGGCAGATTTCTCATGGCATCCGTACGATGTCTCCCGACGCCGACCAAGAAAATGTTGTTGTTGCGCTCAGCACCGTCCAGATAGCACGGTACCCCTGTTCCATCTGACACATCATTGATGTCCCAGGGTACAGACCGGTCGGCGGGCACTGGTGGATCGCCACGCTGCGCTGGCTGTAGGTCAACATCCATAGCGTCCGACTGTTCATGAAGCTCGCGATTTGCATTGGCCTGAGCTTGCATCGGTGGTCGAGGCGGCAGAATTGCCTGCTGTTGACCCGTCTGTGGAGCTGTGATCGGTGGTGGAGCTGGTACCGGATAAGGGGTCTGACCTGGGGGTAGAGGGAGCTGTGGCGCTGTGAGCTGCTGTGCCAATGCCTGTGGTTGAGCAGGGAGCTACGCTTGCGGCTGGAGCAGATCGGAAGTCTCCATTTGGATGACCACAGACGATATGATCAACGACCTCTTGCCCCCGTTTTGTGCTCTCGTTTCTCCTTGGGTTGGGACGCGCGCGAGCCCAGGCCGTGTATCCAGGCGGTAGCTGGGACAACTCAACCGTCATTCCTGCCTGAACTTGCACGTTGGGGTAGTTGTTGGCCCAGTAGTGCGCGTAATGGCGGAGAGCGTGGTTGGTGTCTTGAAGCCATGTCGGGTCTGTCGGTGTGGCGCCTGTTCCGTCCGACGCGCTGCCCACAGGCAGGACTTGAATCTGGTTGCGTGGGAGGTTTGGATTCTTGTTGACGCGGGCCGGCATGATGACTATCGAGGTGGACTGTTGTGGTCGGTTTCTTTACTGTTGTCTGCTTTTCGAAAGTCGCTTACGATTTGGCACGAGCTGAAAGTTTCTTTCGTGGGTGTTCGCGTGTTTGGAAGGTTTGATATGCCGACCGAAGTCAACAAGCGGGTCGCGTATATAAATGTGATGGCTCGAATGCGTTGTTCGCGTCGTGAAGGGCATTTTCCCGTGACGCCTGAGGCGGGAACAACAATGCCATTGTTCCTGCGCACAGTCTACAGACGCGCATCGTTTCCTTTGTCCCGATGCGAGCGCTGGATGGAGATTTCGACCTGGCTATCGACGATGCCAGGGAACAATAGGAATGATTTTTTGGCGCTATACTGAGGTCTTGTTGAGAAAGGCGTATAGAGGTATGATGGATTTGTGCGTAGAAAGGTCGGATTCGAAAGGCATACAACGGCCGCGAGTGATGTCTGTCTTCTCGCCCTTTCTGACGGAGTAGAGAAATATAGCAGGAGTATCGTGATGTAGAAGGGCCACTGACCTGAAATATGTCAGCTAGCAGACCAGGAGGTACCACTTCTGGGTGAGACAGGAGAAACATGCGTGCAATATGTGCAGTGTGCTTCTCCACGCAGCAAACACCGGGACAAAGAGTGCCGGATGATACCTGTGAGACCAGGCAGCCGCTCCAGAGCTTTCCCTGTCTCGCATGTCTTATGTGAAGTCTTGTCTGCTTGTGCCCGTCACCCTGGACGCTGGGTAGATACATGACAAGCACTCCGTCCAGGTAATTGATGACAAGTTCTGGGCAAAGCCATACACAGGGGAATCGCCTCTCCCAGATATGCTCGTGTGCGCTTCTCTCACCTCGATATCCGTTGGAATTGTCTCAGTCATGTACCCTTTTCCAAGCAAACACAGCTCCACGGTACCCTCTTGCCGCGTGCCAAGCCTTCAGATTCTAGAAGCAGTTTGAAAATCACGTAAGGTCCCTTAACGAGCCGAAATATTTGACTTTAATATACTTACTATTGGCCACTCCCCTCAACAAATCAGATCACAAAGACTCCCGTGGTCTATGCAAAATACTAATCAGGTACGTCTCCCCCTTTCATTACCTTCTCTCTCTCGGCAGTGGCAGCGGCAGTGGCAGCGGCAAGGCATCGTAGATAGAAAAACCAACCCTTCGGGGCGAGTTCTCGGGCCCTTCGGGGCAAGAGTTTTGCTATGCGGGAAGGTGTTATTTTTTGGCGCGTCAGGAAGTCTTTTTTTTTGGTGGAGAGGCCGATACTTGGGGAAAGGAGACTAGGCGAGGGAGTTAAGATAGTTGTATGTCAATATGAAGGCTATACTGTCTCTGAGCTCTCTCTTCCCCATTTCCACTGTGCCTGCGTCCCAATTCCTCTTCCCGTCCTCAAATGTCCAAAGTCTCCCCGCCGTTGCAGCGCCCTCAATATCGTTTTGTTTGGTGCGCAAATTTTATTCCATCCTCCTTCACCTCCTTCTGCATCGATCCGTCGCCGTGCGCCAAGTGTTAGCACATTGTGTGATTTTTGCGCTGAGGTTGAAGCTTCGAAGCCGACGCTGAGTGAAGGGTGGTAGAGAGTGGTGGCGGAGGTGCGGCGTGGAGCAGGTCTTGTTGGCCGGGGCAACGCTGGGCGGCAGTCCTTACAACAATTCTTACATCGGAGTCTTCGATGCAGCCAAGAACGCACATCTTACCTTCATATACGTCAACAGCTCCACGCATCCTTCAAAAGGCACCCGATCAATGTCCCGCGATGCCGCAGCAAAGATAAAGCCCGTGGATATATTTCGCTGCAGTGACAGGTGCCTCCCGGGGCTCATTCGAATCGCCATCTCGACGACCACTCCTAAGCTCTCATCCACTCAACAGCGGCGGACGCAGTATCGACCTTCGAAATCCCTCCCCTCTACTCGCCTATACGACTGGAAAAGGAAGTGCCGTCAGTGATTGGTCACTGGAGTGGTCTCGGGGTGGTTTGGACGACTGCCCGCGACTCCTGCGAAACAAGAAAAAGAGACTGGCGAGCAGGGAGCCAACGAGAAACAGAGAAGTCTCCTGCGGTATTGAGAGCCGACGAAGATCGAGCCCCGCGGCGCATACAACGATATCGATATCTTCCATCTCCAAGATGATCGGCAATATCGTAGGAATCCGGCTGCGGCCTTCGAGTTTCTTTGACGTCTGAAAGACTGATCTGGAGCGCCTACGCCTCGATGCTATCAAGACTACCATCACGGGTCCTGATTCCACGAGCTACCGCGGGTAGACGGAAGATTCGAGTTCAATCTTGTCTCAGTCGCCTGGTCCGATGGCCATGCTTTCCCTGTCACTCTTTCGAAAGCAGTAAACCAGAGTGTCGTACCTCTAGCTGTACTCTGCGACCAGATGTTCACAGCCGACACTACCTACTGCACAAAGCTATCACAGGTATGAGCAGAGATGGTACCACTGTGCTGAAGTCCCATGGCTGGAACACAGTGTGGAAGCATCCTTTTGACAGATAGGAGTCAATTTGTAGGCTGAGCTGCAACAGAAGAATGCTCTGTATGAGAGAACGTAAGCTTGCTCCGATTGAAGTCAGCGACAGCTGAAGTTATGCCTTACATCTGACCCTCGTAGCCGCATTTCAGCCGACTTCTCCAGCCTCCTCGACACACACAGCCTCCTCTCCGAGCTTTTCCGTCTTCTGAGCGGCCTCACCCACATCGTCAATATCACCAAAGTCCACGCCACCGAACAATTCATCCATCCTCTCAAGCGAAATACCTTTCGTCTCCGGTACGAAGAACCAAGCGATGACCACCATGCACGCGCAAAAACTGCCGAAGATGAAGTACGTCCCGTATCCATGATTGCCGACAGTCACCAGCATAACCGGTGTTGCTCTTGCTACGACAAGATTGAAGAGCCATTGCGTCGCAGCAGCCAAGCTCACATTTAACCCACGAAGGCGGGAAGTCGGGATTTCTGATACATAGATCCAACATACGGGTCCCCATCCGAACTGGAAGAAAGCAGCGAATAGGTATACCATGACCAATGCGACGTAGCCGGCAGCGCTCACCGGTTCGTTAGCCACAGGAGGATCGAACCGGACGTAGAAGCCGAGGTAGAGCATTGCGACGGCCATTGCTGTTCCAGTCCAGATGAGAGACCAGCGCCGCCCCAGTGTATCAGCCAGAAAGATGAGGAACAGCCCGCAGGACACCATCTTGACGATGCCATATATACCGGTGGCGAAGAGCGAGTTGGAGTTACCGGTGATGCCCAGGTTGGTGAAGATGGTCGGCGCATAGTAGTTGATGGCGTTCGTACCAGTCATCTGCTGGCATACCATGAGCACGATCGAGAGGATCGCCCGTTTTCGGTTCGAAGGAACGGTCCATATCTCCTTGACGATGGGCCAGAAGCCAGATCCGCCGTTGACGCTGGCAAGTTCTTCTTCAAGTTGACGTTGCATCTCCAGCATCTCCGCTACGATATATGGATGGTCTCCTGGGAGATTGCGAACATGTGATAGAGTTTTGAGCGATCTTTCCCAGCGATCTGTCCTCGCAAGCCACCTGGGCGACTCATTGCAGAGAAGCATGCCGAGGAAGAGCAGTGTCGGGGGTAAGCACTGCATCGCAAGAGGGATTTGCCATTCAGCATCACCGGAGATGTGCAGTTGACTTCCATAATTGATCCAAAAAGCCAGCATAGCCCCCATCGTCTCGAAGAGCTGGTACAGTCCGACCAACATCCCTCTGGTCGCCCGCGGTGCGTTTTCGGAAATATACGTCGGCGTCAACATCGTCGCACCTCCCAAAGCCAAACCTTCAACAAACCGTCCCGCATACAAACATCCAATGTTCCCCGAAGCAGCAGCCTGCATCATGCCACCAAGGCCCGCAAACGTCGCAGCTCCCAGCAACCCTGGCTTCCGTCCCCATTTATCCGCCAGTGGATTCGCCAGCAACGCGCCGAGGAAAGCACCACACTGCATCACGCTCACGATATCTGCGCTGAGATTCGCATTCGCAAGAGCCGCTCCTTCGCCTTCATATCCGAAGGCATTCTTGAAGGAAGGCAGAGTGATGACTCCGCCGATGATACCGATGTCCATCCCGAAAAGCGTTCCGCCGAAACATGATGCGCAGGCGAGCAGCAGGACACGCCAGTTGTAAATCTCCGGCGGGTCGACTTTCATGGCATCGTTGCGGACGAGTTTGTTGAGAATGGTGGGAGGAGCCATCTTTGCAAAGAGCTGGAGAGGACCGGGCGGATGAGGATGGGAAGGAGAATAAGATGGAAGACGTTTAAATTGAAAGAGCGGCGGAATAGAGCTTTGAAATCGACTCCCGGTATCTCTATGGTAGACGACCATGCGCCAAGCGAGTGAGATGCGACGTTGAAGTGGTCGGAAGAGTACCACGACGCAGATCGTTGCCATATCGCTCAGAAGGATCCCGGGGGATTCTGGGGTCCCCGCGTGGAGAGACCGGGGGCAAGTGGCGAATTCAGCCGCCGGGTAAAGTTAACCCACAGTTCACAGACCTCACCTCTGCCCTCGCAAAAAGTCGAATGAATGTCAGGATAAGTATGAGGGTCTACCAGCCGGAATCGACGCCAAGAGATGCCAACGACTTCAGCATCATTGCTACTGCGGGCGAGGTTCACAGAACGACCGAAACGGAGTAACATTGCCTGATCGAGGGAATGATTTGAACAACCTCATTGATTGTTCCAACAGCTGGCTAGCCTTTCGCACTGGCTCTCCTCTTCTTAGCAGGTTCGCAGTTGTGGCTTCGGTTGTCCCACACCAGCAGACTACCGGAGAATGAAATCAATGGGTTGGCCGAGTGGGCAGGGCACCTGCAGCAGCTTCACTTTGGTCGTGCACGTACCGTTTGTCTTGCGATACAGCTTGTGCTTCGCCGGATCAAGACAATTGCGCTCGTTCAGCTCTCTGTTGCTTAAACACGCTTCTGAAATTATACTTCGAAGTACCGCTTCTGGCTATAAAGTACGCTTCGAAACCCATTCAGACATGTTCCTACTGCGGCCATTCTGGCGCGGCTGGCCGTTCCAAACTGCGAGAAAAGTGGCTTTCGGGGACCGAGCAGATCCCGTGCTGCAAAGAATCACATAGACAGCGCAGCACTGGATATGGCCTACTTTCACATTCCCGACAGCACTTCTCGGCTCGGTGACAAGACTTCCATTCCAATTCGATTCCGCTAAGCATATCTGTTGAGCAAGAAATACGTTCATACCTAAGTCCATACCCTGGACAAAGCAAACCGCCCGCCGCTCGTTGATGTGTTGCTTTTCTCGGATGAGAAGTGATATGACCGGACAAAGAAAGATCCAGGCCAAAGACATTGTACTAGGAAATCAAAGCCTTTATCACAATGCTTTGCTGAAATGCCGTGTTCCATACAGGTCACTCCAGTTTAAATGCACTCTATCTGCCTCCGATCGTCAATTCGGAATGCCGCGCATCCTTCAATAGTAAACACAAAGCTAAAAACCCCAAGACCCAAACTATTGAACAAGCTAGCGAGACAAACCAGAACAGGGAACCAAGACGGTATGCTGAACATACAACCGCAGCCGCTTTCCAACACCAACACCGCCATGGACTCAAGCAACGCCCCTTCTGCAATCGAGAATCCCGGTGCTCTGCCACCTAAACCACTACTGCCCCCTTCGCAACATGAACTGCCAGAGCTACAGGACTTTGATCCTGACAACACCGGACCAGCCACTGGGACGCGCGGTCCTGATCCTTTAGAAGATCATCCTTTCGCACCACCACCAACCCCAGCCCTGGATCCACAGCAGAGGGAACTGCCAAATCTGCCCGAGCTTGATCTGAACATGTTGGATAAGTCTTACGAGACTGAACAGGTTGTCTACCTTCCCGATATGACAGAGAGCGATTTTGAGTTCTTCGACATGCTACAGGAAGTGATTTCGCTTCTTGATAATGATGGGGCTATTGAGGATGGTCGATAACGTTCAATTCTCCCGTATCCTGGAGACGCAGGGTCCTGAACCACTGAGAGCATACATACTTCCAACTTATCGGCCGTGTGCAGGCTTGGGAAAAGATAATGGCTGCGATCGAAGATCTGTATTTACTCAGGGATGGGCAAATTAGCGGAATGGAGCGATAATCCATCACCAAAGCCACTGACTCCGATAAATAATTCGAAGCTCGATGAGTACATGAACGAGGCCGAGTCATCCTACGCACTTCCGTCAGATCCCGTGGAAGTGATGCACGAGTCCGACGGAGTAGAACCTCAGGAGTGACTCGACTTCCAAGGTTTCGTACGGAAGTCACAGTATCCCTTTCCAGAGCCAATACACTAGATGAAAATACCGGTGCGATTCTCTAGAGGAAGCCGAGACCAGGCGAACAGCCATTAGTTGAAGGATCACATTTGAACATAGACAAGGATAGTACTGAGGGGCGCTTCGACGAGTTCTCAAATTTTGCTTCATTTACATGTATCTCAAGCGTTGCAGCTGCTTTCTGTGCTAACTAGCTCTTCCATTGCACCCTCTCGTCTCACGACCTTGCGGGGATGATGTTGCTTCCCCTCCCACTCCCTCGCGCATTTCCCTCGGGATCGGTGCTGGTCTATCTGAACTCCGAACATGGCCGGGTGTAGTTGTGCACTCGGTCACAGTCGGGGCACCATAGATCGTACGGACCCGGAGGCGGTTTGTAGTAGGCGTCGGGGTTTTCGTATTGAATGAAGCCCTCCGGTCCCAGACCATACTGGGCTGGCGGCGGGGAGTTGATATTGCCCTGGGGCTGCGCATTGGTGTTCTGGTCGTACTCGTATGGAATAGAGTCCGACGCGGGTATGGCGCTCTGCTCTCCGAATCCGTAGTTTTGAGCCTGGCTGTGCTCGTCGGCGCTGGCTGGCACTGGTTGCTGGCCATATGCGCTTTGTGCTGCAGCGGTCTCTCGCTCGATCTTTCGTTGTGCCGCATATCCGACAGAAATGTTTTCCTGAATTGATCCCAATCCAGACGCCTCCTGCAATTGCTCTTGTACTTGTATCAAGTCGTTCTTTTCCTCTTGCGTCCGAGTCCTCGTCTCCCGTTTCTTCAGCTTGCGGCATCTCCAGCAGACGCACGGAGCGCAGCTTTCGCCCTGAACGCTTCGTCGCTGCAGGTACTCGAAGTGGTCGGTGATGTCCAATGTTGTGTTGAATCTGCCGGCGGGATGTCCGTGGGTGCATCTGGTCGCTTGCTGGTCGCGGTTCTTGACCCATCCGGAGTAACCGGAGGGCAGCTGCTGCAGAGTGTATCGCATGGTATAGCTGTTGGTTCCCAGGCGCCTCATATACTCTTCCGCAATGGCTTCGCGGAAGTATTCGTCGTCGTTCTCTGCATCTTTCCACGACCCTCCCGCCCCGTCACTGTAGCCGCCAACTGCCAGGTATAGAACGGGGAGATCTTTGCCCTTTACTAATCGTGTCATGATGAAAGCTGGAATTCGGATCTCGAGCGGCGAAAAATGTGTCGGGTGTGCAAGGGAAGAACTTTTCGGGGTCACTTCAAGCTGAACCGAAGAATTTCCCTCGCAAAAAGGGGACGCTTACGTAATTTCACAGGTGAACGGCGCCACTAGCTCCTGAAAAGACGAAATTCTGCCGACCGCCGGCGAGGATGCTTGTGTCAGAGAGAAGACAGCATCATCTGCCCAATATCTTCTGCTCCTTTTGCTCTCTCTGCCCTTCCCACGTGCCAAGAAGACGATTGGGACCTGTAACGGAAGGTCAGCTCATTGCTCTGGTGGAGCGAAGAGCAGGAGGTGGGGAGCGGCCGTGAGTGAGTGAGCGCTAACCGTCCAGAAGCTTGTGAAGGGCTACGACGGTAGCGAACGAGCGAAGAGCCCCCCTACGCCTCCCGTAGCGATATATATAACCAGTAAGAACGCTAAAAAGTGGGTTCTGAGAGTCTCTCCTAGGGTAGCTCTACGTAGTGGCTAGCCGCCGGAGGCAAAGAAGTATATAGTAGCAGGTAGCAGGTAGTAGGTAGTAGGTAGTAGGTGGTAGGAATTAGGTAGGTAGGCTGATTTTTGTATTAAAGCGCACGTGTTACTGGATCTAAAAAGAACATCCATATTCGTAATTGTCTGGGCGTTTCCGCAAACATTAACACACATAAACGTCAACACACACAAACGGTAAGTAGGCAAACTAGGTCCTTCGGCGTGGTATAGAGTAATGTTACTGGTGTCCTTTGCTCGAATTTGAGATAGTGATCTACTAGCTCTCTACTGTACCCTTATATGCCTTAATTCTGGAGAGATGTCTTTCACCACATGCACAATATACGCTCGAAGCGTGCTTGCTGCGTGAGCAGCCATTCATCTGCCTGCTGGATACTCCCGCGGTCAAGCTCCGCCTGTTGGTGGCGCGCGGCATCGAATCACGCGAGGGCAGCGAGAGAGGCCTTTGAGGGCGCACAAAGAACTAACAACCTGTCTATACACGCACCAGAGTTGGGAATCTCAATTCATGGGACTTACGATGTGCACGGAGTGGGTACTGACTGTCGAGTAGAAGGCTTCATGCCGACAATCAGGCAAACAGCGATTGTTTCGCATCAATACCGTCTCACATGCGCAAATGAGCTGATTGACTAGCGCCTTGGCACGACCAGCACAGATGTCCTCGCTTCAAATATATTCACCAATTCAATATTGTTTTTCGCTTCACCGCCACAGCCAGCAACAAAGCACGAGACGAGCCCCTTACTATGGAAGCAGGATCGGCATGGTTAGAGAAGGAGGTGGGCAACGAGAAGATCGCGTGGAAGGCGTCCGCCTGCCGCAACAAGATCATCAGGTTCATGAAGGATAACGCTCCCCAAGGCGGCTGGAAGATAGACCGTGCGACGGCGATGGCTATCGGCTGCGGACGGTGACATTGGGGTAGCGGGCCAGCGCAACAAAGACGGCCGTGAGCGCAAGCAGCTTGCCGTCTTCCTGGACATCGTGGACTACTGTGCGTTTCTCCTCGCGCCGCATCATCTCCATGCTATTGAAAGCTGATGCGGGACTACAGTACAGGAGAAAGCCGGCGAGAAGGAGATCGCTCTCTACGCCCGAGATCCTATCATCAAGGATACAGACAGGCGAGTCCTCGCCGCTTTCAACATCTCCGTTACCGAGTCCCGAAGCGCCGAGTCCACCGCCGATCCCGGCTCCTTTCACTATGTGGCCATGTGGGATCAAGACGAAGTTGTCCCCGCGAAGAAGCCGACTCTGTTCATTGGGCGCCCATACAGCATGGTCGAGGGTCAGGCAAACGGACTGGCAGAGGGTGGATGCAAGAGGGAGATCACAAAGGAGAATCAGCAGCTCCATAAGAGCATCAAGGACGCAGAGAAGCAGTATGCGAGAATGGAGATCTGCGAAGGCATGTGCGAGCATCGCCAGGCGCAGGCGGGCAAGAAAGGTCGGATTGCAATGTCAACCCTTTGGCTTTGGTGCAAGACTTCGTAGAATGAAGACAAATCGCGCCCTCGCTACACTCTTCGCGCTCTGCGTATTTCTAGTTCGTACAGAGATACGAAAGGACATGGGTGCACTGCCTGATCACTCATAGGCCCGAGACAGAGCCTTGCGCTGCTGAACATTGAGAGTTTTTGGTGGCGACTCCGTCTATTCCCATTCGCGCACCCAAAATCGAACCCTACAATACATGCCTCAACTATCAAACCCCCTTCACACTAGGGAAGCCTGGTTCCAGACCCCGTTTCGCTCAAAGGACCGATGCAGCTGTTGTCGAGTGCTATGATTCCCACCGTTTACAGCTCCAGTAGCGGGAGAGGGTTGCTCCAACAGATGATACTGGACCCCCGGCTAATGGTAGACTCTCATTGTGTACCGCCTGTGACCTGGCCGCTTCATCATTGCCGTGAACATGGACTTGGGACATCTGAACGTGTGCGCGATCACTCCATACCAGAGCAGGTACTACGAAGACCAGAGCCGAGAGGATCGAAAGCTGGCAGTAGAGATTCTACCGTACGCATCCAATCTATGATATCTGGGTTGAAGGCCATCTACGAGACAGTCCGCCTGTGCCACGCACCGAGCAGAGTCTATGCCTGTGCATCTATCATGATGCGGAGCCGAAAGACGGGGAGAGTTGACAAGGGACCGCTTAGCAGGACATTGGATTGCAAGAAACTCAGGCCAGATTGCTGACCTGTGCTCTTTGCCAGTTCGCATCAAGCTTGGAGCATGCTCTTTACCCAGAAGAACGCCAAGTTGCTGTTCATAAGACGAAGCATGCTGAGATCCGCTCCCGGTACCATGTTGATTCTTGTGGAATCGATGGAAGCTGTCGACGCCGGAATTCGAAACCGTGCGACGGTTGTATTTCTGTCACTCTCAAGGCGCTGGACGGGATCGGAGAGGAAGAGCTCAAGGAGACTGGTTGGAATATGGATAGCCCGACGGCAAGACAATTTGGTAGCCCAGATTCATCAAGCTTGTAGACAGGGTCAGATCATTAAGATCAGGCTTGAGCTTCCATTCTGATACCCAGGGAAAAGACGGCGCGCACTCCAGGGTTGCCGCGCTGTGGTCTTCATACCATACCAAATCGTTCGCTGCATTCGCGAGGAAAAGCACATTGTATCTTCAATGCGCGTGATGCGTAGACAATACGACCCTTTTGAAACATCGACGGCCTCGAAGAGCATTTAGCTTTCGTCAAAGCCATTGTTGCTCTCTCGTTACCGCGTACGCGTCTTGTCCAGCCATGCTACGCTCCGCCTCTTCTTCCGTAGTCTTGATCGTAGGAAAGCTTCCTGAATGTGCGGCTTCGAACTGTTCTCTGCCCCGACCTGCGCGACTGCTCACTAAGCGTCTTACGCCTGGCAATCGCAAGGGTGCCATGGAGGCCCAGAGATGCAAATGTGCTGGTTGATTAGCACTCCAGCTAGTATTGCTCGATGCTCAGATCGCAACTCTCCGCCAAGAGTTATACCAGCACTGAGCAGAGCGCATGAGGGAGCTCAATCCGGCAGCTCACCTGCCGACAGGACTCCTCACAAGTGACATCCCTCGGATGGGCGCGTCCTTGACACAAGTCGTACAGGCAGCAGGCCTTAGCCGCGCTGAATCATCTTCTTCTACCCTCGTCCCGGTTCGATTGCTACTCCGGCGCACCTTGAATGCAATCTCGTACTCGCTCCTTCGAATACCTGCGCAGTTGCGCCTCCCAGTGTCGACGAGCACCAAGCGGCGATATAGAACGAGGCCCTGCCTGCGGAACCGTCAGGGGCCTGCGCTGCGTCGGCGTCCTCTCTCTCGCTGTGGGCAATTGGGCTGCAGTTATGACGGCTGCGAACTCAGAGGCTAAAGCTGTCTCGCTATGATACGAATTGGGCACCGCAATGCTGGCGCAGGGCTGTCTGTGCTCTGACCCTTTCAGCCCGTCGAAGTCTTGAGTTCTGTGTGCCCAAGTCACGTTGCCAGCGCAGGATCCCGTCCTCCTGGCTCCTCCATTATTGTTTTTGCCGCGTCCTGTAGGCCTCCTCCCGATGTCTCATTCCTGCTTCTTTCCAGTACGAGCGCCGATGCTCAAGATCTTGCTGGGCGCTTCTCTCGTAGATCAGCCGATCCAGTGCCGCGCACGCTGTCGGCTGAGAGACATGGGAATCAACGGTCGAATCGTCTCAAACGCGGCGGAAATGGAAGCAGGCATGGACTGTGGCGGTGTCGGACTTCAGGTTGGGCGGGCTGAATGGATGACCATGAGTCAAGATACGCGGCGCTGTTACGAACTTCCTGCTGTACATTCGAATCAACCCCTATCACAGTGGCGAAATGTCGTTCCGTGTGTGGAGCTATGAGCTGCTCTGTATCGTGATTTGGGCGGAGGGTGCTCGAAAATACGTCTTCCATGGCCGTTGATCGCTGCTGTATGTACAGTCGCTCCGCTGCTGTTCGTGGTGATTGCGACTTTCGACGGGGTCGGGAGCGCGAGCATTGTGCTGCCTGCCGCTGGCCGTATCCCTCGCGTCGGTGAGCAACGATTGGCCTTGCCGCCTTATCCACACCGTAGATTGTTGGTGCTGGGTTACGTGCCATTCGATTGATTTGGGGCAAGATGATGGCGTGGGAACGAAGTAGCGCCAGTTGGAGCGGCGAGGTGCTCGTGTTCCAAAACATCTCTTGGCGCCAGATGCATCAACGCAGCAGCTGCTGCCACTGCAACACCACCTTTAACTTGCGCAAAAATCGCACACATCTCGTTCCAGCTTGCTGCACGTTAGAATAATGAAGTTAGTAGCATGGAGTGTGCCTGCTAAAAAAGCGCATCGAAAAGCTCGTCTGTGGTGTCCACAAAACGATCCGCACGAAGATGGCTGTGCGGCAATGACTTTTCCTCAGAGTATTGCAGAGCGAGATCACGAGAGCCCGGCGAGGAAGACGTATAGCAGTTCCAGTGAATGGTCTTCAGGGACAGCTGTCAGCGGTCACACGAAGGACATGTTCGAGCAGAATAGTCACAGAGGCGAATCAAAAAATCGAGGGCAAAAGAATACGATTTCTATAGGAGAATTCATACAACACGTACAAAGCTATCCCGCCATACTCGACTGTGATGTGAGCAAAAAAGGGCAAAAACTCAGATCCCCGGTGGGATCTGGAGAAAATCGTCCCAAGCTGATTATGGTCGGCGCCACCCGACAATCTCGCGTTTTGGTAGGACGATTTTTTGGGTGTCGTGATGTCGTTTTGCCGAATGCCACTGCTGCCACTGCTGCCACTGCTGCCACTGCTTGCCGTTAGGTGAAGGGAAGGGGGATGTACTTACCGAATTTTTGGAGTGTCTTAACTGATTGCGCCACGAGGACGGATTGCGAGGGAGTGCACTCGGTTCTCCCTCTTGTATGGTTACGATGCTTAGCGTTAAAATTGTATATTAAGCTAAAAGCAGCGCTAGCGCCATTGGCTCATCCCCCCAGTACGGACTCACTCTGCCGACGGTCGACGAGTGTCGTAGCGGACCACTACACGCGCGGCCGCCTTGGAAAGGTGATGCCGTGATCACCTTTGAGAAGACTCGGTACCGTGGAAGGGTGGTGAGAACATGTATACGGCATGACAGAGCTATCATGAAGTCGTCCCTGACGCTGCTCCAACACTCGATGCTATGTTTGCAAAGCGTCACCGTGTCTTACAAGTTACAACCCCTGACTATATCCCTTCCGGACACTTATGTGATGTTCTGATCTGCAACTTAGGGCGGCAGCACTGTCTTGCAGCAAACTCGCGGTGTATCTCGGTTCTGGTTCATAACGGGTGTACCACCAACGACGTCTGCAACACACCACTCTCCTGAGGCGGCGATACACGAGTCGGACCTCGACCTGAACATTTCGTCCAGGATCTCGATATGCATCTCGCTCCATCTCAGAGCTCAGTACCAGCTGGTCGTGTCTCGTCCGCATCCATGCAAAGCTACCTGAGAGCCTTTTGGTTTGAGTTCAGTCACCAGTGGCCCATCGAGATATAGCTGAAGTCAGCAGGCATCGCATTGCAGCGTCTTGTTTCTCCTTCCATGCGTCCATCCATCCTGAGACCTGAGGCTCTCCATGCTGGAGTCCAACTGTATGTTTCGTAGCTGTACTACTGTTGCCTGAACCTCACGCGACTTCAAATCCTTCCCGAGGTTCTGCCGCTTCGTCACCCGCAGCAGGTCAGTCATCCAATTTGGGCCAACGAGCTACCAGTCGCTATCACCAACGCGCGCTTACAAGAACACCAGCTCGTTACCATCCTCCTCCATCCTCTGTCATTTCAAATGTCTATCAAGCTTGAGCCGCGCAGCATCCGAAGCAGATTCGCACGAAGCCCTGGGCTACGCACATACGACGCGACTTTCCACAAGCAAGAGCTCGGGAGCAGCATGGACAATCTCGTAGCTGTGAAAGGACGCACAGTCCTCGAAGAAGAATGCAGTCAACGCGACCGAAATCACTGAGAGAGGAGAAGGACCAAGGTCTAAAGGGATGCGCTTTGCCAGCAGGGTTGATCGAGGAAATTGGGAAATACAACAAGCCTCGCAACCGCTACGCATGTGGAAATGGCAACATCCAGTACTACCCACACTAGATTCGACGAGATCTACGATCCTGTTGCAATGCGCCAGGTCCGAGCGCGTCGCCACGATGCTCTGTTCAAGTCTATCACACTGCACGTTCACGATACGGGAACGGAGAGACGCCGAAGTTCCAAAGGGGGGTCAATACCTGCGAGTATGATGGGATACCTCGACACGTTTCCTTGTCATGACAATCGGGTCTACCAGTTGGAGGATCTTTGCTGGACCTCTGGTTCCGTTTCATTCCTCGCTTGCGCTAGACTCCGCGAATCTCCGTCCCCAGTACCAAGCATCCTGAGGACGGTGCCAGCCTTTGAAACCCGGGCTAAGTACAAGGCAATGATCTCCCACTTGGAGAAGGACTACACGAACAAGGGAATGCAGCCTCCCGTGCTCCGAAAGGTCACTCGCTCCGCGGCAGAAGGCGGCCAGATCCACCGCGAGTCTATCGCCTGGCCCAAGCTGCTGGACTGGAGCCGTCTGCCCGCTGCTATGCTTCGAGCCAGGTACGACTACTGGACTAACGCCGTCTGCCTCAAGGGACTCCAGCAACTGAAGAGAGGCATTCTCCACGCCATCCTCCACCCCAGTCGCGTGGGGATCTTAGAGCACCGTTCAGAGGGGCTGCTTGACTTTCAGGGGGGCGTTGACTGGGCGCAGGAACTCCACTTGTCGACGAAGACAAAGCGGTGTCGCAGACCACGCTCACCCGCGCCTTTTCATACCCTTTCACCAATGACATGGAAGTTCGAGTGGACCGAGATCCTCTCGGCCGCCCGAGCATGCGCCCCGAGCGGAGGAAGAACAAATTCTACGCCTACACAGTGCAGGGGAGCTACTTGCTAATCGGCGCCGGAGAGGAGGGTAACCCCGACCACGGACTCAAGAACCCGTGGATCGAGCCAGCGTTCGATACCCAAGCCAAGTACAAGGCTATGATGAAGGACTTCAAAGACGAAGTCCAGGCGCGAGGAGGCCAAGTGCACGCAACCCGCAAGCTCACTCGCTCCTCGGACCCTGCAGGCCGAATCCACCGCGAACGCATCAGCTGGCCACGGCTGCTCGATTGGAACCACATCCCCTCTTGGAGCGTACCACTGCGGAAACCCGTAGCAGGGAAGTTCGATCTCCTACTGATACCAGAGTCTTGAGCCTATCATCCATTGTCCCCCTTCTCCTTTCGCTGACACAGCATGTGGAGCAACAGGCCTAATGCGACAAAGATTTCCTTTCGATGCGGCATTCCTTCATACCAAAGTCAATCTGAAGCACCCTCCATATTCATCATGGACATTCAAAGCAAACTACAGGAGCACAACGCTTGACCATTTGCCATGGAGGACGTCTAAGCAGATGATGCACTAGCAGAGCCACGCGCTGCGGGCCGAATGTAGCCTACGCGCACGAACGGGAGGTTGCTGCATATACGCCTCGAGCAATCAGTCCTGCTGCATGAGCGTAGCAAACTATGCTAATCACAACATAGAAAAGTCGCTTGGAAATTCGTGATCACCCTAAGGTTCCTTCGCTGCTCTCTATCAGCTGTGGTTTTCGACAGGCCACCAGTCTATAACCTACATGGGTCGCGAACTATACTATCTCTCCTGAAGACCCTGCACGGGCATTTGATTATACGCCGGTGTCGGCCGCAGCTTCCGCGAAGGCACATTCCTGAGACCACCCTGCTTGATGTCTTCTTCACAGCGACTCTCACTGCTATTCTGCTTCTCGTTCAGGCTAAAAGACACGCACGGCGGAACGGGAATCAGCAGATCGTGTCGATATTGAATGCGCCTCATGGACGTTGGTTTCAACACAAGTGCCATGGTGCACCGACTTCATTCACTCGCTGTGCCTGACGCGGAGCTAGAGTGATTTTGGTTAGTTTATCTTCATTCGGACTAGCGTGGATGAAGACTTGAACGACCCGCTTCACGCTCCGAAGCTCAACTTCAAAACCCGCGACACAATCGAGATCGAATTTGACATCCTCAATTTCAACAAATCGCCACCGCCACGCAACTACAGACTCCAACACAGCCTCCCTTCTCCAAAAACAACCGCCGATACTGCCTGAGAGTTTAGCTCACTGAGTCAGCGCGCCTTTATCCGCACGATCTTGATGGTCTGCAACGACACAAGCGGACTCGAAGACCTCACATTCGCGAACATGGCCGCCACCAATCCAGGTGCTCAGATCTTTCCACAAGAGTTCATCGACAAGATCGCAGATAACAACACGCCTACTGAGGTCCATCTCGCTCGCACCGATACTTTCTCGGGAGGCTTTCGTCTGGCGGCACTCGAGCTCGAGTCTTTCCCGGTTCGCGACTTCTTGACGATGCTGCTGGTCAAGAAAGCGTCACACGACCGCGCAGTCAGCGGAATCGACACACTTCACATCTGGATCGGCGACTCCGATGAAGATGCGGACATCCTGCAGAACACTGTTCCAGAGGCGATGCTCGATCGCCTTCAGCGCATCCAAATCCACAAACTGCGCATGCACGTCCTCAAGCCGGAAGCCCGCCACACGATCGCTGGCTGTGATGTGTTGTCGAAGGTCAACGACGGCGTGACAAGGCATTTGAGCAGCATCACGTCTCATCTCAAGCGTGCCTCGCCAGCCTCCGAGATCTTCGAGTACGAGTCCGCAAGCTATGAGGCCCATAGCGGAATGTCCGTGTCGACGGACATGGCTTACAAGCGCATCCACGACGCGATCACGGTCGGAGCAAAAGCGTGGTCAAATCGCTTTGTCAATGCCCTGCAGACACACTTCATCCATGACCAGCACCATCAGGGTAAGAAAGTCAAGGGCGGTACTGTGCAAGAATTGCTCTCATTCGACTTTTCCTCTCAGCGTCCGAAGAGGAACGGTGAACCTCTCAGTGCCCGGCGTTTGCGAAATCAGCTATCCCCCGTTCAAAAACATGATGAGCGATCTCATAGCTCTCCGAAAGGTGCAAGACGAGGGCTGGGTCTCCGATGGCTTCTTCTAGCCGCCGTGGAACAGCCGACCATAGCCAAACGGTCGAATTGGTGCGAAGAGGGCTGTGCGATAAACCCCGTTCGCTCAGGACGCTGCGGTCGGAGACGCAAAGTTGCACGGATGGAGTGATGGTGCGCATGGGCCATATCTAGGGAGTTTGAACTCCATATTTGCTTTTGAGCTCCATAGTCAGGGTGTCGCAAGCACGAGGAATGGAATCTACGCTTTTTCTTCCTCAATACTCCAGTGACTCCGCTCCACGCCTACTAGTAAACTTGCAAGCCTTCTTGACGCTGAGCGAATTTTGGTGTCCATGACCAAGAACCCTTCCTTGGATCGGACAAAGAGCCGTGATGACAAAGAATTGCCTCGGGACAGCAACAACAGCCTGGATTGAACAAAACAGCGTTTAAAGGGACAAAGAGCTAGCCAAGAAAGTTTTTATCCTCTATGGAATATTATTGTAGAGCGGATAGCGCAGCGCCCACGTCGCGATACGCGTCTTCATTACTTCTCGTTCTCGCATCTCCGCCGTCGTCCACCTTCCTGGCAAGGAACATCTCTATTCTGTCATATATCTCTTCAGGTGTGTTGGAGCAGCTACGTCCTCTCCTCCTCAATCAGGCCAATAAGCTTCCTGCCTCGCTCTACTAGCAATTGCTTGCTCGGCACAGGCCTGTACGTGTATGGGTCATTTGTGAAGATGTAAGGGCCGTACTTTCCGCATCTGCAGCGCTCCAGAGTTCCAACTCCCTACCAGCATCTCCACGATCACCCTAATATTCGTGGTCGTCTTCCTCATCGTCCTCGGATTCGCTGTTCTCCTCTTGCTCATCCTGGACTCCACAAACAAGCTGGCGATATAGACGCTCGCTCCTCTCGGTGTCCCATCCGTTGTTCACCGCGCAAATACCGCCGCTCATGAAGATCTGAAGAACATCGTCGCAGACGACACCACTCAAGCGCCTCTGCAAGTTGCCGAGGACCTGGGCAAGTGGATTTGAGCCAATTTCGGAGATAGTCCGAGGGATCAGGGCCTCCACCTCTTCGTGGGTGGTTTCAGAAGTCGCTGCCAGCTCGAGAGTCATATCGTCGTCAGTAGCAATCGTGTCTCTCAGATCCGATGACATGGCCACGCTATACACGGCTTCGGCCGTGGACGAGGCGGTCGAGAAGCGGATGGCATGTTTTGTTAAGCGCTTCATCCTGTCGGATTCCAAAGCCACTTCCTCCATCTCTCGCGAGTCGGCGCGCACGTAGACGGCTTCGAGATCTGCCACTTGGAAGGACGTCACTTGGCGGAGGACTGTTTGCTCAACCGACGGGGGTGGTTGAAATATCGGGCGCGGCGCGAAGCCCAAGACCCGGGGCTGTTGGGGTGCCTGCCATACCTGTTTTTCGATATGTTAGCTACCCGAAGTGGTCGAACAGAATAATCATCCTACCTCAACTAGCACTGTAGTGCGTCTCGCGATCTCATTCAACGCCGCATTTCGCATCTGCGACTTTGATTCATAGAGGAATGCGTTCATAAGGTCCCAGTCTGGGTGAACTGCCGGCGTGATGTAGTCCGGAGACGGGTTGTACGGGTCGTTGACCACGTAAACCCGGAGGAACTCTGGCATGGCGGCTTCTGCCAGCACCACGACGAGGTCCCTCGGCAGCGTTTGCCAGATCTCGTGCATCTGGACGGGGTTGTTGTTGCCCGGCATGATCTTGGAGGCTCGAGATGGCTACGAGGTAGTATTTCGCGGTGCTGCACAAGCTTCAGAGCGTCAACAAGTGGATCTTGTACTCTGGAGAAGAATTGATCTCAGGCGCTTCGTGTTGATGCAGGTTGGCGTTGAGAGCGTCGGGAAGGTGTGGTGGTTGTGCTTGGAGGAGGTTAGAGTCTAGAGAGCTGTGTCGTTTTATAACAAGGTGGTCTGTTCCGGGAAGCAACGTGAATTTCGCCATGTGTTGTAGCTCTTCACGTAGCAACGGTACGCGACCACTTTCACTCCGTAGGGAACCAGCGCAGCTCGTGGTGAGGCGGCTTCTCCGTACCGATGCGCTCTCGCTGCAGCTTCCCATGTCGATAATGACGATACTGATTATACTGATGGTTCTTTCGGAAATTCGGTGTAATAGATAGGTCGGAAGGAAGATATTATACTGTCAAAGATGTTGGGTCCAGACGTACTAGGGAATAGGTATAGTAGATGAGGACAGAGAACACTTCTGACTCCAGGCAGGGAGTGCTCACGCTCTTTAGTAGAGCGATTCATGATTGCTACCTGTTAGCTTGAACCAAGCCATTAGCAGTGTCTCCCCACGTTTCAAAAGCCCTCTTTGTCTTGCACTCCGTGCAATGTCTCGCGGGAAGGCTCGCTATTGCCAGACATATCCAGAGACCCACTGAAGCCGTGCGAGGTATCTTCCTTTCTCGTCGTGCTGCGAGTACCTTATGCTAAATGGAACTCTTAGCTCTCCGATCAACCAGCAGAGCACTCTACCAGTATTGTGCCAGTCATCTTGCTGCTGATCTGCGATGGATTTGTGGATCTCCTGAACCGCTCTCTTGCCATTCTGAATTGGCTCAAGCACGCAACACATGGGATGCTTCCCATTCAAGATTGTCTCCGAACGCTCTTTTGCCTTGGCTCCCTTGAGCTGTACGTGGCAAATGTCCGAGCGTGTAAAATAGTCAGCAGCATGAGCTCAGATCGGCCCTACAGCACTCTCTCGGTTTGCGATCGTACGCTTGACGCTGATGCCAATAGAATTCTTCCAGAGGCCATGGCGGGCTGTGGCTACGAGGCGTATCCCCAAGCGGCGAAGGAGTGGGGAACTTTTGAATAACTCAGGACCAGGGTTTTTCTATGGCTGCTAAATATTATTCGCTCGAGGTGCGGATTTGCCTTGATCTCAACAAAGTCGTTGACACTTGGTCCGTTCAGGTCCAGCCCAAGTCGTCCGAGAAAGCTATTCTTTGGGGGTTAACGGCTCTCCCAAGCGAGAGGTGCTCAGGGGTTCACAACGACCTTGATCAATTAGTGGAAGAATAGCCGCAGCTCTCCCCGGCCGCAGCGCCTGTTCAATATAAGAAGGTACTTGTCTGTTGGCTCGTCTTCGGTCCGATATCCCGCAGTCAAGGCCATGTGCCACGTTGGGGGTGGTTAAGTCCTGGATTGGCCGAAAATCCGCCTATCAAGATCAAATTCTGCGATCTCACAAATTTGATATAACAAGCAGATGTATTCCAGCTCTTGCGGCAGGTCCAGGGACCAAAACGGCTTGCAAAGTGCTTGCCACCATCGAAATTGATTTCGACGTGCTCGCGGGCCAGTCGCCTCAGTCATGACGCGAGGTATCCAAAGACAGAGGAAGCTTTTCAGAAGTACCCAAGCTGGGAGTGAGCCTCCACTTCCTGCGCCTGCTGCTCACGTGTAAGCAGAGCGGCTTTGCGCTCCTCTTGACGCGACTTGTCCTGGAGCTCAAGGCGCTTCCAGTTCAGTGCTTTCCGCCCCTTCTCCGCGCCGACAATGTCGAAGATGACCTTCTCGAGCTCTTCGGCAGCCTGGCCACGAGCCTCCATCTTGAGCGCCTCCCACGCGTTGAGGAGGTAGTGCAATCCATTCTCGACGGTGTTCATGGCTGACGATCTCTCAAGGACTGCCCAGTTCGGCTGGGCTTTGGCCAGAGCGTAGCCGAAAATCAAATGGCCCGTCTGACGGACTCGAATAGCGCTGACGTCGCTGATGTTGAAGAAGACGTAGTAGGCAGCCAGCATGTATTGCGCGGCATAGTGGATATAGCGGACTCGGTCGATGTCTTGAGCTGGTATCATTCCCTCAGTCTGTAGGGAATCAGTATTGTTCTGCCATCTTAATGAGACTGCGGCGCTTACGATGGCAGGCTGCGCGATCGGAGAGGTTGCCATCGCGAATGCGCCCTGTGGCGTTTCTTGGTACACTCGTGTGGTTGATGAAATGTGCTCGGGACTCAATAGCGTTGAAATTGAGGATTTGTGGAAAGTAGACAGTAGGAAGTATATATAGATTTGGGAGCCCATAGAACTCGCGATGCGCCTTGCTGTCCGCTACCGCTAGCTCGAAGCTTAAATTGGATCAGCGCGACCCTTCAAACATTGATTAGAGAATTCATGAACAAGAGGCATACATATCGGTGGCGCGTCTAGATGGATGCTTATACATCTGTCCCAGATGAGCTCAAGGAGCCATACTTCTACCTGACTGTGACGGAAAAGGGGCATTTATGATTTGCTTAAATGGCAAATATCAGACTGGGCAACGGACGCAGATAACGAAACAAAGAGCAAGTTTTGGGATAGTCGTGGAAGCAGTCAGGAGGAAACCGGCTCCATGGTACACGCTGCTCTATCAAAAGGCAATGAAAAGCAAGGGCTGATTTTCGTCGAGACGCAGCGCCGATATCACGTTGGAAACAGAGAATCAGGAGCGTAGGATTGCATAATGCGGCTCTCCCATTTGTGAGGAAAGAAACAATCTGAGACCTGACCGTGGACGGCTGATAGCCATTTACAAGCACGCGGTCGAAAGTTTCATAGTTGTAGCTGAGAAACGGCACGAGGAGTAATGCTTCAACTGAACGAGGTTTCAACACGGGTAGAAAGCGCACCGTGCCCGTGCTAGGATGCGTTTGTGATCCTGCGAAGGCCCGCGAGCTACAGTCCTCAGTAGAGCTCTTTCGGACCAGCAGCAACGAGAAAGCACTAAAGACCCTCCTCCTCCTCGTCGTCATCATCCTCAGCATGTGACTGAAGATAGACTGGCTCATCCATCTTGTCGAACTCCGCCCACTTCCTCGCCAGCATCGCAACCCTCTCCTTCCCCTCGTTCTCGTACTCCTGCACACGGTTCCCCTCCGCCGCCCGCCGCTGCTTGCGGAGAGACACGTCCCCCATCTGCTGTTCCTTTGTTAGCATCGTCTGCTCTCCCAGCTTCTCTCCCAACAGCTCATTGACCAGCTCTTTGATCCGGTCCGCTGCCTTGCCGTAGCCAGCGTCTGTAAAGATCTCGTAGGCATCGAGCAGGTGGTGTGTGGCTCCCTTCAGTCCCAGCTCCGGTGTCGGTTCGAGAAGCTTGAAGATAGGCTCACGGGCGCTCATGCCGTTGCGAAGGATGTCGTGAGCCGCTTTGACCACCTTGGCCTGTTGCGGGAGACTCGGACCGTACATGGGGATGATGACGAGGAGGTTGTTGGCCTGCCGAATGTGGTCGACAGCACGCTGAAGGCGTGGGTTGGACTCGATCTCGACAATGGTGATGATTGGGTTGGACATTTTGTTGATGTCCGCGGCGAAGACTCTCGCGTTGGTTTCTCTGCTGCGACGAAGAGGATGCTACACTGGAGTGGGCCACTGTATTCCAGAATGCGTCTCTGAGGAAGTTCCCTTTGCCCGAGAGCTGTTGCTGCTGTTGGTCGGCAGAGAGGTGTTGGTCGGTGTAGGAATATCAAGTTTGTTGATGGAATGTCAAAAGGGGAGAGAGAGAGCCGTAGGCTAGATAGTATTTGGTGTGCAGCGGCGGCATCACCCGCACCGTAGCGTACTCACCGCTTCACGCTCTCTTCACCTAGAGCAGAAACACAGACATGCTATTGTTGCTGCTGCCATTGACAGATTCTCTCGCCTTGCCAACGGCCCCTCCCCTCACAAAAGGTGTAGAGGTCTGTTAACAATAGCCCAGTCTGATCCTTAAGAGCATCATCACCAGAAGGCCTCGACGAATATACACCGAATGCGAAGAGTATATTCCATGAATGAGTTGTAAAAGGAATGAATGACACGGTAGATTGGAAAGATCACGTTGGGCTCTTAAAGCATACGAAGGAGGCTTGCTTACGGTTTGCTGTTCAAGATCGCGTTGAGTGCTTGTCGCTAGTCTATGTGCTGTAACAATGCAGAAGTGCAACAATCTGGCGCTGGAATCCGTCCGATCTCCCCGGTCTTTGACTTCGAGATTGAGCGGTGTACTAATCAACGTGAGCTGACAGGGTATCTATGATCTATCTGATCATGCTCGGTTTACGCTGCACGATTGAAAGCATTCCCCAGGTCCCGACTCTGGCTTTCTTGCCTTTCTCCCACGAAGGGGCTCTCCGATCAATCTCAGTCCGCTCGTATCGGCTCAGAACCTGAGAATGAGGTTCACCACAGTCTTCTCCGTCCCATTCCACGAGATACTTCCCTGTACTCTGAACCGGGCTGCTTGCTGAAACGGGACTCCAAGAAACCCTGTAATCTCGATCTGGCGTCAAGATTCTGTAACCGCCGCCCTGGTCAGTCTAGCGAGTGGACTTATCTCGACATCCCAGTGAGCTTCATTGGAGTCGGCACAGTGGACGGTTCCCAAGAGCCAGATCATCCGCGCATACATTTGAAGCGCCGCAGAAGGTTTCGACAGTGTATTTACCAGCCTTCCACTTCGATGTTCAGGGGAAAAGCGTCTTGAGATCCAAGAACAGAGGGAACTGAAATGGGATGGGATAGACATAGCCATACGAGTCGTGTTCGGGGGACTGACGGCTGCACACAAGCTACAGACTACTAGAGCAGTCTCTCCTCCATTCAGTCTATCTGCATGATTGTCTGGACGACTTGTCGTGAGGAAAGTTTTTGCCAGCATGATTTGACTGAATGCTCGTGAAGATCACATTGTTTTGAATCCTCGTGGGGAACAAGGAGAGGGGACCGTGGGGCCAATACACGACATCTACCCCATCGAGCATGCGTGCAGCGTATCCATGCCGTCAACCAAAACAAAGGTGTCTTCTGCGTCTTTATTCAACACAAGTCCCGGACTAGGCGACGAACTGGCGGGAAGACAAAGAAACTTCGCCTCCATCTTTGTTAGTGTTACCCCTGGAGTCGAAGATGATCAGGCGTGCCCACTGTGTTCCGTTATGTCTCTCAATCATGGGGTTGCAGGAAAGCCATGCCAAGAGACACCACTCCCTTTCTCCCGCAGTACTGCTTGGACCACATGACTATTACCGTCTTTCTTGGTCAAGAGTAGAGCCCAGACGAGATCAGCTGTCTTCTGCATTCGAAGGCGTTCAAGTTAGTCATGTGTAGCTCAGTCCTAAGACGGGAATCGTGATACTATGCTCTTGCAATGCTACTGACAGGCTAGTATAAGCGCAGCAGCTGTAGAAGGAACCTGTGTTGTTCGTAGCTCTTGGCAGCGTGAACCATTCAATTTGATTGTCTGCATCTCTTTCCTCCCGCCGAATGTCCCTTGCCTCAAGTTCTGCCTCGCTCAACTGGTAGACTCATCCGCTGCTGGTAGCTATCACTCGTCCGGGTATATAGTACTACCGTACAACGCGTCGCCGATGAAGTCGTCTAAAGGCGCCTCATCATCCGGACGTCCCGGGCCAGTTGTGCGTTGAAAGCAGAGGCTGCAGTCCTCGCCAGCGCACACCGCAACTTGACGAGTCTTCCCGTCGCCAAAAACCACCTGGTCCTCAACCGTGACTTTCTCTCTCGAGGAAAACTGCCAGCCCATTTGCTTCGTCATGGCTGAGCCCGCAACAGGTTTGAACTGCATGATATCGTTGTCCATCCGCAATTCGTCGCGGTGCACGGCAGGTAGACCATGGAACTGGCTGCGCTTGATGTCAGCCTCTCCAACGACGACTGGATGGTCTGGACGACAGTGTTTGCATGAACCCTGCAGGCAGACCATAGTATCGAAGGTCTGCGGCTGCTGGTGTTCCTCGGATGGAAGTGGCTGGTAGGTGCACCTCGCGACCGGGCCTCCGTATCGATACATTTTGTCTGTGGAGTCGACGAATGTACCTTCAGCAGCTATGAGGATGTTGTGCCTCCAGCCATTGCTCCGGACGGGCTCATAGCGGATCTGACCGTCTTCGAAGTGGAGAAAACGCCAGTGGACCATGGGGAGAGGCTCGCCAGCTGCAGGCGTGGGCATCTCGCTGGCCTCCGAGCTCGGAGGATGGATTGGCTGGTGTGTCCTGGTGGAAAGCGTGTTCTCGGCGTTGTTCATCGCGACGGTATTTGCTCCACCGCTGAGTGGATGTCTCTCGGGCTCCTCTCTGCGGCGCTTTGCGGCCGGTCCTTCTTCCTCGTCAGTCAAGTCGAAGACAGAGTCAAGGTCGGCAGCTTGCCGCGATCTCTTAGTCGGCGAGCTTTGTCCGTCGTTGCTAGACTCTGCCTCTTCCTCATCTTCTTCCTGGTCCTCCTCATATGGGAGCGAATCCGCCGGTGTAATGGCCATAGCGGAGGTGTCACGCAATGCGATCCCAGTATCATTCGCGGCCTTCACTATCCATCCGCGATATACCGCCATCTGTTCCCGCTCTTCATCCGTGTATGCTCCCTTATTCTTGGGGCTCGGTCGGTCGACATCCATCCACATCTGGTCGCGTGTTAGCAGCCGTCCCTGTTATAAATTTATAATAGATTATGGTAATCGTTCACTTACCAAGTTGCGTCCGGCATGGTGGCGTTGCTTCCATTGGTCCCGAAGGTGGGAGGCGGAGTAGTTCCTCTTCTCACGCGTGTACGGGAAAATCTCGAAGAAGATCTTGCACTGGTCGCCGTTGTGGTCGTCGATCTGGAACTCGGTGTCTTTGTTCATCAGACGCACCACATTCAGCTCTTCGCGACTCCATTTCTTCATTCCCCGGCCAGACTTAATGATCTCCCGCTGAGAAGGCATCGCTGCAGTGGGTGAAGACTCGTCGTTCGAACTTGCGAAGTCGTGCGAATGATGAAACCGTGAGGACCAGAATTACTGGTGCGAAGCGCGATCTCTGGAGTGCTGGAGGTAAGCGCGCGATGTTTCGGGTTGTCGAAATTGTTGTAGAGCGCAATGTCTCGGTTCCCTCGACGTTGTTGTTGGTGTACTGGTAGGGACGGGGCTTGGTCGCGTTTTAAGTCTTCAACGACGGCGTTGTCGAGATTCACGTGTCGGATGCCCTTGGGCTCTTCACTAGCGCCAACTTCACAATTCTGGAAGGGTGAAAGAATTCAATCCAGCATGTCACTCGCAAGCACCGCGTCACCTCTCCCTACCCTCGGTGTTCAAAAAATTTCAAAGCAGCCGTTGCTCGTAGACGGGCCAGTATGTGCTCCGCCAATTCGAGGTAGCTGTACCATAGCCAGAACTAGCTTCAAAGCTATAAGTCTTGCACCCAGCCTGGAGTAAGGGGTATAAGGCAATGAAAATTGAGTTGCCGTTATAATGTGTCTGTCGGACTGATGTCTCGTTCCGCTGCAGCGAGTTGAGCGTGACTTCGCTTGACGTTCACCAGTCCGCTGAGGATGATATATCGGTGAAGTGTCGGCCCTTCAAGCTTCGGTTGATCGCAGCGCACCAGGAGAGTCTGAAGCGCATGTTGGAGAGCGATTAGAAGGCATACCTTCCAGACCATGAGTGATAGCCCGCGAAGACACATAAGAAATCCGTCTATGCAAGCCAGCGGTCGCCCTCCGCACCTGTTCTGGTCTGCCAACGCTTGCTGGTGCGCTCCTGCCGCCTGCGCGGTATAGGAGTTGGAAAAAGGCACATCTCCTCTCATGTTGAAGCTTTGTGCAGGCCTCAAGTCCCTTTCAAGCTCACCAGCAGTACGTTCCCGGAGAGCACAACGTCTGCTCAGCCTAGTCTTTTTCACGAAAACATCGACAAGAGCGGCGCCTGTCCTTCCTTCGTCAGGAAAATCCAAGACCACGCTCCCCTGTAGAATCATTGTAGACTGATCGTTGAAGGCTATGAACTTCGAAAGTGACAGAGAGACGATTCGATGTTGGAGAAGCCGGCCGATATACCAGAGCTGCGCTTTCAGTCGACCTGTGTGGGCCAGTCGCCGTTCATGCTGGTCCAAATTTCCGAGATCATCCAAGCCAGAGTTTTGAAGATGTATACTGAAACGTAGAGGAGTGTATACCAGTACCACAGAGCAACGTCGCGCCGTCAAATTCGATGATCTGCAGCTGCAGCGAAATCAGAGGGCACGGCGAAGGTGGTTTTCTGTATTAAGAACGAGAGGAGCCAGTTTGCCGAGCTTGGTGCATGGTTTGTCAAACAGAACCTGTCTCAATGCAAGCGCGCACCCGTAACGTTTAAGACATTACGGCTTGTCTCTGCAGGAGAGCAGCTGGTTGGAGGAGAGTCAGGTGTTACGATGGTCCTAACGTGGCTGAAACTTCTCACTGGAACGGCCTCCAGGCTTTCAGACTGTAGCCGAACACACGCCTTGTGCGTGGAGATCGAAGGCCAGCTGCTTGACAGCAAGCCGGCATGCAGGTACGTGCATGATGAAAGATCAATGCACAAGCATCCTGCAGGCCACCAAACTTTGCTTCGTCGACTCCGTAGTAGGTCATCAATTATTCCGCATAATGCCCGTCGCCGATCCAGACGTTGCTGTAGATGTGAACAGGAACTCAGGTTGTAGAGTACAGGGCTACTCGCAAGCCATCTTCGTCCAGGCTCCATGATCGCCAGTAAACGCATCGTGAGTGAGCAGATATTCCATGGTTATCATGGTTTTCTGTCGCGCTTTTCAGGCCATACCCACGCAGCATCACGTGCAATGGAGCGGTTGGAAGAATCTGTCGAGGGACCGCAGGACGCTGCGGAGTTGTCGTTTCGACCAAATGTATGCGCTGCACCACAAGTGCTTGGAGTCGGGAGTGGCCAGAGAGCAAAGAGAATATGGATGATCTCCGCGTTGTAGAGATTACGGCTGAAACGCGTGGAAGGCTGAGTCGCTTGAAGCGCTGGCCTTACACCTCCTGCGGACTCGCAGCGTCTGAGCTTAGGGAAGTCTGTCATGGGCGGCGCGTGGTGCGGCGGGTTATTCTGTCGCCTCGATCTTGTTCTGAGCGAGCGCCGTGAGATTTCCCGACCAGGCTCCGCGCTGCCTAGAGGTCTTCCTCCTCATACCAGGCTTTATGCCCAGCGCCGTACCCCAGCCATTCAAGAAGGTACTGTCGCGCAGACTGACCGTGACGTGTGCGTGTAAGCCGTGCAAGAAGTCGCTCAATTCCGTGTGAATCGATCTGCTGATCCACCGCAGCGACGACAGGGCCGGTCGGAAGGTTTTGCTGCTTGCAGGCGCTGGAAGGGGTCTTCGCTGCTTGAAGCCTTCTCCAGCTGCGTTACCGAAATGACCAGATAACTCTTCATGATTGGCGGCAGGTCGAGTGGGTATACCAGGATGCGCCCACTTGTTCCAAGACCTTGGGAGGAACATGAGAGCGTGGGCAAGAAGGGCGAGAAGAAGGACAAGACGAGCAGCAGTAGCCCAGCACGATGTCCCGACCTGATGGCGACACGAGAAGAGAAGGAAGAGGATACCACGTCGCCAAAGCGCAGCAAGCCCACAACGGCTTCGATACACTCCAAGCTCCCGTGCACAGCCGTGACTACCTTGCGCTCGCAGCCTTGTGTGGGTTGGACATGTTCGGAGACCGTACCTCAGCATCGGCTCGTGACGCGTATATTCTTCGTACTCAGGAGGGTGTGGCAGAGTCTGGAAATCCTCCTCGTCAATTTCCTCGTCAATTCCGCGGAAGACCTGTTCACTGCGGAAGCCGTCGACGCCGTGAAACTGAGGAAGCTTGTCCACGTGTATCTTGACCGGACGTCGCTCGCGTGTGAATCGATCGTACGCTTCCTCTGGCTCTTCTCCAGGTTGCAAAAACTTCCCAGCGCCGAGAGCAGCAAGTGACTCCCACTTGAATAGATCTGTAGAGGCCGATTTCAAGGCGCGCTCGCTGTCATGTAGCTCTGCAAAGCAGCAAAAGCAGTTTCCACGCCAGACACAGGATGCGCCGCACCACAGGCGTTCCAAAGCTTGACGCGATCCGTCGGAGGAGCTCTGAGGAAGAAGCAACCGCGGCTTCAATGCCTGAACCAAGCGGCCCCAAAAAGCTTTTGCGCTGCACCACAAGCGCTTGAAGAGTTGAATAGCCCTGAAGACTCCAGACGACGGAATTGCAGTTCGCCCATCGCAACAGGAAACGCCGCACCACGGGCGTTGTGAAAATGTCGAGGACACAGCCAGTCGCAGGAGTTCGAGACGAAGAGAACTCCGTCGATAGGTTGATCGACCGTGTCTTCCGCGCTGCACCAATGCACCATGAGCGTTAATAATGTTGAGTATGACTGGAGCATGGGTGTCTTTGGACGACTTCCCTGGTCAATGGAAACGCCGCACCAAAGGCGTTGTGAAAAAAATGTCGAGGAAACGGTCAGTCTCAGGAGTGCAAGATAAGCAGAACTCCGCCGTTAGGGTGATCGACCGTACCCTCTACGCTGCACCATAGCGCTGAGAAGTTGTGTGTGACCGGAGCATGTGTGTATTTGGATGATTCGAAACTCCTGGCCAAGGGAAACGCCGCACCACAGGCGTTGTGAAAAATGTCGAGGAAACGGTCAGTCTGAGGAGTCCCGAGATGAAGATAACTCCGTCCTTAGGGACAATTGACCGTATCCTCTGCGCTGCACCATAAGCACTAAGAAGTTGATGTATGACCGGAGTATGTGTGTGTTCGGATAGCTTGAAACTCCTGGCCAAAGGAAACGCCGCACCAGAGGCGTTGAAATGTGGGATGAAAGCAGTCCAAGCAAGCGATACAGGCGTGTCCCAATGCTGATTTGCTTCGTTGCGCTGCACCATAAGCGCCGAAGAGTGTTGTATGTAGTGAAGACCGCAAGAGATTCGATCGATGAGTCTTGCGTCGAGAGAAATGATGACAAGAATTGCGGTCTTCCTGGACGCCGCACCATTGGCGTCCGTAGTGGTTGCAAGAGTCGGAGGTGTTCGTCTTGCGTGTGAGGGGAAACTTTAATATGCCGCACAGCAGGCACAGCGAGTTTGAGTTGATCGGGGCGATGATGGCTTGGTTGTGGTTGTGTCCAAGCTCTCAAAGATGCCATGTGGATTGTGGAGTGGGCATGGCGAAAGACCGGAGCGGTGAGTCCAAGCAGCGTCAGGTAGGTTCCTTCTGTTCTTGCTGGAGGTCTCAATGAGGCATGTTGGTTGCGTTTGGTCTTTGAAATGTTGGAGATTGATCGGAGAGCATTGAGACGCACTTTTCGAATTGGCATGGCGAGTGCTGGGACTGGACAGCGACTCGCCGTCGACTGTGAGCAAGTTGTCGAAGATGGATGTGATCTTCAAACTTGGGCTTCGCTCCGAGATTCGAGATTGGAAGGAGGTGTTCTCGACAGTCGAATGGCCATGGGGTTGTCGGCCTTGCAGGCTCATAGTCTTGTGGTAGTCGACATGAGCCATGCAGTGAGGGACTTGCGCGGTTGTCGGACTTGTGTGTAGTGGTTTCGAGTGGCAATCGCGTGAGAGAAATAGTTTGACTTGAGCTTAAGTCGATCGGTCGAGTGTTAAAGTTAGACGTCACCAATGGTATAGGTATACCTGGGTGGTATAGGGTCAGGTTAGGTAATTCTTGGCGACTAGGTAAACTAGGTATAGGTCTGGTAGAAACCTAGGCTACCGATACC